ATCTGTCTGCAGGCCAAAGCTATAAAAGGCCAGAGAGTGATCTACTTAGGACTTATGCCCAGACGATCGGACGGCCATAGTTGCGTCCCAAATGGCAACCCTATTTCCTGTAAAGTGCACTACTTTAGTCCAGGGCTCATAGGGCTCTGGTCAAAATTATTGCTGTATATAGGGAATAAGGTGCCATTTAGGACATCACATCCCCATGTACTGCATGTCATCCCTGACCCAGATGCTCTGGCATTTGTCAGGGTTGAGTTTTGCGTCACTGGGTCCTATTTAAATGACTGCTATTTAATCATTATATACCGCTCATCTCCTTCAGAGGAGTCCTCAGTTGTAGACATAAAGTTCTACTGTAGGTAGGCTTATGATATATGATACCCATACACAGAATCACACAAAACTAATCTAACCAATGATCTCTATCATCTTTAGGTGAATGGTTCATAAGTCCTTTATGTACCTTTGTTATACTGTTATAATACATGCCTGGTATTTGATATTAGAATGAACCTTATAAAACTAACATTGTGGGGAAATGAGGTTTCAGAGAACGTTTTAGCACCTCATCCGGTCATATGTTCTCAGATAAATCTATGATGATATCCTGGTTCTGACCCCTGAACGGCTGTCAGTTCTTTACACAGAGAGACAGAGAAAATAAATCAAGGAGAAAACAGAGAGACCACTGAAATGTTCCAAAAAAGATAAGATCAAGTTCTAAAACCTAGATGAAGATAAACTACCTCAAAATAGTTGAAGCTCAGAGAGAGACAGACAGAGGAGGAGGGGACAACATCAATAACTGTCCACTGTGTGTGTGTGTGTGTTAGACTCCATGATTCAGCTGTGTCCGGGAGAATACTATGAGCTACAGTACTCTGGATCCCCTAAGCTCTGCGGTGGGAGTGGGAGGCAGCACACTGATGACCTCACTGAAATATATGTGCTACTGTCTGCCGCTTGATTGGACGAATGTAAATATTTGAACTCTTGGAAATGTGTCTGCTGTTATCCAACACCATAAACGAGTTCGGAGCCACTCAGGGTCTGTACGGTGAGGAGCCAGGAGCCAATGCACAGACACACACACACAGACACCTTGACGTTGGTAGCCAGGCAGGCCCTGAGCACCAACCCGGCACTGTGGGAAACTACACCATTGTTACTGTATTTGCTTACCTAGGAGGGGCAGGAGTGTGTGTGTGTGAACATATTGTTTGTGAAAGCTGATGTAAAGTTAGACGTGGAGAGTGTTTTAGAGCTGGTGCCAGTCTGTGTTAGGCCAGGCTCAGACCCAGCATGTTACTAACGTCCTCCATATTATGGCCTTGAGGTGGGTGAGGTGTAGACAAAACAGCCAAGCCTACATGCCCCCGGCCCAGGCGGTGCTGCTATCATTACAACACGCACACACACTCGCACACAAACAACACACGCACGCACACATGCATACACACACGCACATGCATACGCGCATGCACGCACACACGCACACGCACACATACACACACTCACAGTTTTCCAGCTTCTACATCTGCCACTAACTAACATGGGCTGCATCCCAAATGGCACCCTATTATTCCCTTATGTCCTGGTCAAAAGTAGTCCACTATAAATGGAATAGGGTGCCATTTGGGACAGATCCATAAAGTACCGGGTCTCTTTTCTCCAGTACCACAGTAAACTGTCCTGCTATTGTAAATTATACCGCTGTATCAATAAAAGCATTCAAAAGCCAAAATGTATTGATTTCCAATATATCATAAAAGTATATCAACATCTATAAAATTTACTTTTTGGACCCAAATCTATCGTCTTGTATTCAATATTAGTAAAAAAAGTGATAAACATCTGTGCAACGAAAACTCTTTCCAATCATTTTTGTATTTTTTTGTCATAAATCTTTGAGCTCTTTCAGATATGGTGATATTTTTCAAAATATTAAATATGTGATGACATGGAATTCATGAAATTATTATTTTTCCATTTGCCTATATAAAATTATTGGACAGAATATGAAAATACAAGTCATAAAAATAACCTAAACAAACAGCCTGGTTTCATAGACTAGAGGTAAAATAGTAAATGTAAATCCGGGGCACTCAAATTTCGTTTGGTATGGTTACATAAGACAGATGGTAACTTAAGGCAAAAATTGTGGTGGGGTGGATGGGTGGGCGTGTAATGTAGCAACCCAAAGGTTGTGAGTTTGAATCTCATCATGGACAACTTTAGCATTTGAGCTAATTAGCAACTTTTCAACTACTTACTACTTTTTAGCTACTTTGCAACCACTTAGCATGTTAGCTAAATCCTCCCCTAACCCTAACCTTAACCCTTTTAACTAACCCTTCCCCTCATCCTAACCTTAAACCTTTAACCTAACTCCTAAACTTAACCCTAACCGTTAGCCAGCTAGCTAAGGTTAGTAACCTAGCCACGTAGCTAGAATTCGTAACATATCATACATTTTGCAAATTCGTAACATATAATATGAATTGTAATTCTTACATATCATACGAAATGGGTGATGGACATCCAACATACCATACGAAACGTAACATACACTACTTGACCAAAAGTATGTGGAAACCTGCTTGTCAAACATCTCATTCCAAAATAATGGGCATTAATATGGAGTTGGTCCCACTTTGCTGCTATAACAGCCTCCACTCTTCTGGGAAGGCTTTCCACTAGATATTGGAACATTGCTGCGGGGACTTGCTTCCATTCAGCCACAAGAGTATTAGTGAGGTCGGGCACTGATGTTGGGCGATTATGCCTTGGTCGCAGTCGGCGTTCCAATTCATCCCAAAGATGTTTGATGGGGCTGAGGTCAGGGCTCTGTGCAGGCCAGTCAAGTTTTTCCACACCGATCTTGATAAACCATTGTCATGCTGAAACAGGAAAGGGCCTTCCCCAAACTGATGCCACAAAGTTGGAAGCACAGAATCGTCTAGAATGTCATTGCTGTAGCATTAAGATTGTACTTCACTGGAACTAAGGGGCCTAGCCCGAACCATGAAAAACAGCCACAGACCATTATTCCTCCTCCACCAAACTTTACAGTTGGCATATTGCATTCGGCAGGTAGCATTCTCCTGGCATCCGCCAAACCCAGATTCATCCTCCATCACTCCAGAGAACGCATTTCCACTGCTCCAGAGGCGGCGAGCTTTACACCACTCAAGCCGACGCTTGGCATTGCGAATGGTGATCTTAGGCTTGTGTGCAGCTCCTCGGCCATGGAAACCCATTTCATGAAGCTCCAGACATGTGCTGCCATTGCTTCCAGAAGCAGTTTGGAACTCGGTAGTGAGTGTTGCAACCAAGGACGGACGATTTGTATGCGCTACATGTTTCAGCAATCGGCGGTCCCGTTCTATGAGCTTGTGTGGCCTACCACTTCACGGCTGAGTAGTTGTTGCTCCTAGACATTTCCACTTCACAATAACAGCACTTACAGTTGACCGGCGTAGGTCTAGCAGGGCAGAAATTTGACAAACTGACTTGTTGGAAAGGTGGCATCCTATGACGGTGCTACGTTGAAAGTCACTGAGCTCTTCAGTAAGGCCATTCTACTGAAATGTTTGTCTATGGAGATTGCATGGCTGTGTGCTCAATTGTATACACCTGTCAGCAACGAGTGCGGCTGAAATAGCCGACTCCACTAATTTGAAGGGTTGTCCACATACTTTTGTATATATACGTACAGAACAATACAAAATGCTCTGAGACCAGGTTGAAACAAAATGTAGGTTATTTTCTTTGAAATTACGCCCAAAGTTGCATACATTTCTAATGTTGGACGATAGCTTCTTCTGGCAATCTCTGAATGGATTTCAGACGCCATCATTCAACAGTATAGTAGTGTAGTGGGTGAGGTGAGGTGAACTCGATCTTCAAGGTCATATCGCAAACTAATAGATGTCAAAGCTAGAACCTTCTCAGCACCAGAGAGTGACTTAGTGGTAGCATGACCTGAACTAAATGAAACATGTAGATCGCCTACACTTCACTACGGCTGTGTGCCAAATGGCACCCTATTTCCTTTATAGTGCACTACCTTTGACCAGAGCCCAAATGGTAGTGCACTGTAAAGGTAATAGGGTGCCATTTGGAACTCAGCAATGTTTTCCAGAGTTTCTTGTGACAGACTGTTAACATAGACGTAACACAGAGATTTGGTTCTGGGTTACAAGATTAGTCAGATAGACTGTTGTTTTCCTTTTGAATCTGATTGAAATGAATTACCCAAAAGAAGTGGATACAAGATACTGACTGGGATTAGATCAAGCAAAGCTCATGTACAGTACAGTACTTTTGATGTGTCTGTCTATGTGAAACTCATCTATAGTTTCTTTATAGAGCAAGAGCTGTATTCTACTTAGGAGGAGAGGGAAAGAGAGAGAGGAAGACAGGGAGAGAGAGAGCGAGAGAGAGAGAGAGAGAGAGAGATATTCTACTTGGCCAGTGGAAGGGTGGGAGTCGAAAAGAGGTTGAGGTTGAGGTCGGGGCCTGTCTGTGTTTTCAATTTCAATTGTCCGTCGTACATCTTAAAGAACCTAGGCTTCCTGTGGTTCAGGGTAATAAAAGTAACCTCAGGTTACATCCTGAGCACAATGGAACAGACATGTTGGAAAAACATACATTAAGTAAGAGGTAAGCTGCAAGGCAAAGGTACTATGCTGTGCAAACACCCTGCAAAAATGGCAAAGCAACCATCAAAGTGGCAAAGCTACCAACTATAATTAAGTGTCAAAGGTTTACTACCACTGAACTACTTGTCAAGTCAATACTTTTCTACTGCTTCTCTTAAACACCCCCTATTCTGTCCAAGGTGGCACGCCTATCCAACGTTTGAATGATGGAGAATGATTCAGTTACCGAGGAAAAGTAACCCTGTAACTTCCCCACCCTGACAGACCTACACGCCTCGTCAATGCCAGTCAAACTGCAGGGACTTCTGGTCTTTGTGGTTTGAAATGAATTCACTGGTACAGCCCCGAAAACCAGATCATCCTGGCAAAGGAAAATAAGCAATGCAATTATAACACAGAGCAGGATTATTTATACAAAATAATGAATTTGTTTCTATACATGCCAATCATGTAGCCCGAAGGGGGTTTAATAATATCATTTTTTTTTTCAAGGCGGGTCGAGATAGAAGGGTAGCAGTAAAACATGCGGCTTTTCCATGGATGGAAATGTGTTTCAGGCATGTGGAAAGCTTACACCCAGCCCATGTTGACACAATGTGATTAGTTTATTATAGAATCCAATAAGCTTGGGCCTGCATGGATATTTGCTTCCATGTTGTAGTAGCATGAGTCCAGATCTGACCGGAGGGCTTTTTGTGACATGCGGTTGGGTGGTGTGGGTGAATGACAGCACAGCCAAAGAATTCCGGGGAGAGCCGGAGTATGCCAGAAATATGCCACAGGAGAGTAGAGCGGGTAGCGCAATAAACAGGGGAATTACGGGTAGATGGATGATGAATGGTGGTACTCATCCTTTCATTTGGTTTCCACAGGATGGTGGGGTGGTACGTGTGTGTGTGTGTGTGCGTGCCCCTGGTCTGTCCCTCTCTGAGCCCTCTGCATATTAACACAGTAACCTGAGGCCAGGATGAAAGACTGAACTGTAGAGAAAGGAGCTTCCGCTGTCCCTCTCCCTTGCTTTCTTTAGGGGCCTTTACATAGGAGTCTGTTTTCCCAAATAACAAGTATAGGTTACAATACAATCACTTAGTTTCAAATCCTGAGGAAACTCAATTACAACTGAATTACAAGTCAAATTGACATACATGGAATTAGGCCATGGGTTCACACCAAACAGGGGTAGAAGTTTCCTACTCACCCAAGGTCAGGGATTATTCAGTTATGGGGCTGCTCCAGTCTGATTGATAGGTGATCTTGTAGGCCTGGTATCTCAGAGGGTGTGGTCACACCTCTCTGAGGAGGACAGAATCTAACTTCAGTGGACCCTACTCTACTCTAACCCTGTCTTAACATTATGCCAACCCAAACACCATCTCTGTTCATACTCTTTCAGGACACAATTTCAAAAGGAGACTGCAATCTAGAATGAGACGGAGGTAGAGAAAGAGAGTGAGAGAGAGAAAGAGAGTGAGAGAGAGGTAAAGAAAGAGAGTGAAAGAGAGGTAGAGAAAGAGAGTGAGAGGAAAGTAGAGAAAGAGTGAGAGGGAGGTAGAGAAGATTGAGGGAGTATTATAGGACAAAAGGAGGGCCATACATCTCAGAGGGACCAGTGAAATTATGAAACAAGAAGCTCCTGATGAAATAACAGGAGACAGAGTGTAAAACGACAATCTAATCAGGAGATTCAACATAATTAGTGTGTTTCCACCTGCATTGACAGTCTCATCAGTTCTGGGGCTGTTGGTTGCATTACCTCAGAGGCTTCTGGTACAGAGAGTGGGTGCTTCCCAAATTGCACCCTATTTCCTTAATAGTGCATTTCATTTGACCATGACCCATAGGGCTCTGGTCAAAAGTAGTGTAATATACAGGGAATAGGGTGCCATTTGGGACGTACACAGGGTAACCTAAGAGAAGAGAAGGCCGGGGAGCTTGGCTGAAGCTGGAGCTTACTGACATCAGAGGGTAGGGAAAGAGCATGGATGGAGGGATGGAGGCTCATTTTCCTCTACCTCACTTCAGAACGTTAACACTTGAAAAGTCTGCAGACGCACAGGTGCCTTACAGGCATGGTTGGGTAGGTTTCTAAATGTAATCCATTTAAGTTATCAGTCCAAAATTGTAATCAATAACATAACTTGTTGATTACCTAAACTCAGTCATGTAATCCGATTACTTTGTTACTTTTTGATTACTTTCCTCTTAAGAGGCTTTAGAGGAAGACAAAAAGGATCCATCCAACACATTTGGTGTGTCATCATAGTGGTCTCTGACTTGTGGTCTGACTCGCTCAGGTGGAACAAACTTAAACGTGCGCCTTTTTTCAATGCTGAATTGAATGTTATTGAGAAAACACAAAGGTGCCATAATGTATTTTTTTTCCGCAAACATCCTTTCTGAATTTAAAAGTCATCCAAGAAGTAATCATCTAGTTCTTCAAAAGTATCTGTTATCTGATTACAATATTTTTGCTGTAATCAGTTACTTCCCAACCCTGCTTATAGACTACTCTATTCACACTACTGAGCTGAGCCGAGACGAGCCGAACCAAGCCGTACTGCTCTGGTTACACATCCAACTGCTGGAACTGTGTTGCAAGATACAATGTGAATCAGAGCCAGCACAGTACATACGGTTTGATTCAAGTCGGCACAATAGTGTGGAAAGAGTAGCTTATTAGACAAGGCCTGTTGCAGTGTCGACTCCCCAGTGCTCCCCTATCACTTTCACACACAACACTGTCCATCCAACACTGGGCGCAGAGCAGAGCGGAGGCTATCCTTATGGTTAACCTATTAGCCCTACTGCCCCCAATAACTCAGATCTCTCCCAGCAGCAGTAGTAACAGAGAGCTTGATCCTTTTAATTCTTCTCTCCCCATTCTTTCTCCTGGTCAGCATGGCAAAACAATTAACTGATAGTAGACTGACAATGAGCATGACAAACTGAGTGACGTCTGGGAACCCGACACCTTATGAAACGATGCCCGACGTCTCGTAACATTTTTACACATGACAGCATGACCGCTCTCCTGAGAGGCCCGTCTGAGATAGCGCTAAACCAAAACCCATACGGCCTGGCGGAGAGAGGAGAGGAGCCTGTGCTAATGAGACACAGACCCACTCTGTTAGCTTAGCCCGGGTGGCCGCTCAGACTGGCTCACTCCAGTCCCTTGAAAACCTCACTGACTATACATTTCTGCAACACAAATGACAAACTTTCTCTGGTCAAAAGTGGTGCACTATAAAGGGAATAGGGTGCCATTTGGGACGCAAACATATTGTTATAATACTATATACTATACTATTGCTAGTATGAATTTGAGCAGTGTTAAGTGGATAGAGAACGCAATGGGACGTGGCCATAAGGTGGCAGACAGTGGCATACAGTACATTCAGAAAGTATTCAGACCCCTTGACTTTTTCCACATTTTGTTACGTTACAGCCTTATTCTAAAAATTGATTAAATAATTTTCTCATCAATCTACACACAATTCCCCATAATGACAAAGCAAAAACAGGTTTTTAGAAAATATATATAAAAAACAGAAATACCTTATTTACATAAGTATTCAGACCCTTTGCTATGAGACTCGAAATTGATCTCAGGTGCATCCTGTTTCCATTGATCATCCTTGAGATGTTTCTACAACTTGATTGGAGTCCACCTGTGGTAAATTAAATTGATTGGACATGATTTGGAAAGGCACACACCTGTCTATACATAAGGTCCCACAGTTGACAGTGCATGTCAGAGCAAAAACCAAGTAATGAGGTCGAAGGAATTGTGCGTAGAGACAGGATTGTGTCGAGGCACAGATCTAGGGAAGGTTACTAAAAATTTTCTGCAGCATTGAAGGTCCCCAAGAACACAGTGGCCACCATTCTTAAATGGAAGAAGTTTGTAACCACCAAGACTCTTCCTAGAGCTGGCCGCCCGGCCAAACTGAGCAATCAGGGAAGAAGGTCCTTTGTCAGGGAGGTGAACAAGAACCCGATGGTCACTCTGACAAAGCTCCAGAGTTCCTCTGTGGAGATGGGAGAACCTTCCAGAAGGACAACCATCTCTGCAGCACTCCACCAATCAGGGCTATATGGTAGAGTGGCCAGACGGAAGCCACTCCTCAGTAAAAGGCACATGACAGCCCACCTGGAGTTTGCCAAAAGGCAACTAAAGGACTCTCAGACCATGAGAAACAAGATTCTCTGGTCTGATGAAACCAAGGTTGAACTCTTTGGCCTGAATGCCAAGCGTCACGTCTGGAGGAAACCTGGCACCATCCCTACGTTGAAGCATGGTGGTGGCAGCATCATGTTGTCGGGATGTTTTTCAGCGGCAGGGACTGGGAGACTAGTCAGGATCAAGGCAAAGATGAACGGAGCAAAGTACAGCGCAATCCTTGATGAAAACCTGCTCCAGAGCGCTCAGGATCTCAGACTGGGGCGAAGGTTCACCTTCCAACAGGACAACGACCATAAGCACACAGCCAAGACAACGCAGGAGTGGCTTCGGGACAAGTCTCAATGTCCTTGAGTGGCCCAGCCAGAGCCCAGACTTGAACTCGATCTAACATCTCTGGAGAGACCTGAAAATAGCTGTGCAGCAATGCTCCTCATCCATCCTGACAGAGCTTGAGAGGATCTGCAGAGAAGAACGGGAGAAACTCCCCAAATACAGGTGTGCCAAGCTTGTAGCGTCATACCGAAGAAGGCTTGAGGCTGTAATCGCTGCCAAAGGCGCTTCAACAAAGTACTGAGTAAAGGGTCTGAATACTTATGTAAATGTTATTTCGATGTATTTATTTTTACCTGTTTTTGCTTCGTCATTATGGGGTAATGTGTGTAGATTGATGAGGGAAAAAAAACATTTTAGAATAAGGCTGTAACGTAACAAAATGTGGAAAAGGTCAAGGGGTCTGAATACTTGTGAATGCACTGTATATCCCACTGGTGGTCACTTGTCAGACCCCTTAGTATTTATTTGGTATCAGATAACTTTGAGCGTTAGATTGAGGTCTGCCTGAAGTGTGCAATATGAGCAGGGTTTTTCACTTTGAGCTATTCGATTAGTTCCATTGCGCCAGGCAGGCTCAATCAAGTGTAGCTAAAGTATTTGAATCCAGGTCGGAGTTTGGGGTTGGTGGTGGTTGAGAATCCTCTGGGAAAATGCTCCTTCTATTGTTCTTGCTGCATTGACAAATCTCTGGTCTGTGTAATGAAGCAGATAGTTAGGTTGAGAATCAGATTATGTAGTGGTTAGGTCTCTGTTGATGCTACAGACATTCAGTTATGTTGTAGGTCTGTGTTTTCAGACTAACTGCCTTCGCTGAGCGGTGAGGAAGTCGGAGGGTAGCGGCCTCGGTCGGCTCTGCCAGCCCTTTCATAATGACACAGGAATGATGCACATCCCAGTCAAAGCCACCGCACCAGGGTAAAAGAGTAGTGGTGTTTTCTGACCGGCTGCCCAAAATATGATTTAGACATCACAGGGAGCTGAAATAGGAGTCCTCGGACAGTGTTTAAACCAAACACACATCTACTTCTCTATTCTCGATCTGTAAAAGTGTGAAATTCAAAAACCGTCTTTAAGAGAAACCCTTTCTCAGTTCTCACCAAAGGACGACATTTCCAACATGGTAAGTCGTCTAGGTCGTTTTCCGTGAAGACTTCTTGGATGAGGTGAAGTACAATTACTGTGTGAAAATGTATACTAAGTTAATAGGATCTGGCACTGTTTTACAATAGGCGAGAGCTCCTTAGCTCAGGCAGGAATAAGCATGAACTTCAGAATCCTTTAAAAATTACTTTATTCACTTTAATACATAGGGTGGTTTTATAATTGTAATATGTATACATTCACATTTTACAATCACACACACATTAATTTACAATGTGTTTATATGCTGTCACATATAAACAGAAAATAACAAGTTCAAGAGTCTGTCATTTCAATCATAAAGTAGACGTCTAGTTCATTCAGGACAAATAGAAAATCCCAATGTAGTCTACTATAAACCTGTGTGCAAGGTTCTGGATGCAGGTACATCTAACCCGCTTGTTGTGTATGTGTGGTTCATACAGTCCAGGTTTGTGTCCGAAATGGCACCCTATTTCCTATATAGTGCACTACTTTTGACCAGGGTGGTCAAAAGTAGTCCACTATATAGGAAATAGGGTGCCATTTGGGACACAGCGCAACTTTCTCTGCAAGGCATTTATAGAACAAACATGAAAAATTAAAAGAAGAATTCTCCATGCAATTAAAAAAAGGATAAGAAAGAATTATATTCTGATTAGACATACTGTAAAGGCATCCGTGTCACTCCTGCCACAAATATACTGTAGGTCATTGGTACGGTCACCCAAAACTACATTTCCCAACACATTCTTTCTGGCACTCAAGAACTACAGGCAAGGTCTAAGGACATGGAACACGGAGACAGAACACTGCAAAAAACATTTTTACAGGTCTTACACCTCTTTCTTTGATTTCAATGCAAACACCCATATGACTCAATGTATTCTTTAATATAGAAAACTTTTCCTTCTGTCTTTTTTTTTTCCATATCGGGATTCATTATGAAAAGCTGAAGCAAGACTGAAGCTAGCGCTGATACAGATATTCATATTTAACTGTCAGAGTGGCAGATAACCAGGTTGGTCACAGCCCATTAGAACAACCACCAACAAAACAAGGCATGCAGCGTTTCTTCATTTAGTTTCTTTTTCATAACACACACAATGGAAAGCCAACCCTCCCATGCCAATCTGTTTGATTTATAAACCCTTCAAAAAAAAAAAAAAAATGCTGAAAGTTTGGGAGTCCAAGTCAATAAAAGCTGTAAAACTTTGTTCCAGAAACTTGGTGACTGTAGAATTTTTAGAACAAAAAGAGGCAGTTTGTGGAAGAGAGAGAGAGCGAGAGAGAGAATACATGACGCTTAGGCTGATAAGAAAATCAACCGCAGCGCTGTTAGGAGGGCAAGCACTGGAGGAGGACAAGGCTGCATGATCACACAGGGTAGATACACACGCTGGAGAATCATCCCTGCAGCCAACACACACTAGTTGTGCTTGCCTTGCTAAGAGGAACAAAGTGCTAAGGGAGAGATAATAGGGGGAAACATTTCTACAAAGGAAATGCAAAGTGTTGGGAGGGGAGGGCAAACAAAAGTCGTAACAACCCTAAATGAGAACAGGTGATAGAAAATGATCCTTTTCTAAATAAGAATAATACCCCATCTGCTATCCATGGTAGTGTTTTTCCCCTTCACTATTCTACCAAGTCATACACTCATTTCATTTTCAGAAAGACAGGGTAGAGGACCTTTAAAACAGAATTATAGCCATGATACCAGGAAGTGTGCAAACAGCAATGTCCCTATGAATGATCACAGCCAGTGAGCGGAGGGTGCTGGTCAGGAGCAGCCCTGCCTCACTCCACACCTCAGGGGCCGATGGGGGAAATGGTCTGGAAACTATAGCCTTCATAGCAGGACATCAGCCATCAGTGTGAGTGTTTGGTAGGGTGTCTTTCAATTGAGTGTGTGTGGTGTGCGTTTTGTATGTGTGTGTATATGAGTGTCTATGTTTTGTATGCGTTGCGTGTGTATGTAGTGTGTGTGTGTGTGTGTGTCTAAACCAGGGAGCAGTAGCCTCCACAGCTCCCCCCTGCAGCCTGGTCTTGCCGGCCCAGCTGGACCCCTCGGCCCTGCGTCTCGCTCTCCCACAGTCCAGGGGTCTGGATGATCTTTTCAACCAGCTCCTCAAACGCACACTGGACCCCATCACGCGTCTTAGCACTGGCCTCTGGCCCAGAGAAAGAGAGAGAGGGGGCGGGGGGGGAGAGAGAAAGAGTGGGAGAGAGCAGGAGAGGGGGAGAGGAGAGACACAGACATAACAACTGTCAGTGACTGGCTGCTTCTTCATGTCATCTAGCTACTGACCTCCACAGCTGCATTTTTCTGAAACTAGACAGGGTCATTTTCCTGAACATGAATTGTGTGCCTCCCCTGCGCGTCGGACCGAACAACGCCATTTAGCTGTGACCATGTTTATCACAGCCTCTTGAGCATTATTGATTAATTAGAATGTGCTCCCAGAGTGCTATAATTTGAAGTTGCTCAAATAGCCGTATCTCTTGATTGGTAGAAGTTATTTCTGTTCTGATTGATGATTGGAATAACAAAGACACGGACAAAGATTTCATACACTAAGTTTTGTCTTGTTGTGAAGGCGGCAGGTAGCCTAGTGGTTAAGAGCGTTGGGCCAGTAACCGAAAGGTCGCTGGTTCGTATCCCAGACCAGGTCTAAAAATCTGTTGATGTTCCCTTGAGCAAGGCACTTAGCCCTAATTGCTCTGGATAAGAGCGTCTGCTAAATGACATATATGTAAAAATTAAAGTGGTCAAAATGGTTGTTTCTTAAAGTGGAGAGAAAAAAAGTAGTTGATGCAGTTACTAAAACAGCTGTCTCTCTGGATTGGCAGAAGGTATTTCTGTTCCGAGTCATTTATGTATATTTTTATGCACGTCATTTTTTCAAAATGTTGGTCCCACTTTAACACATTAGTGAATATTTACCATGTGGTTATCATATTAAAATGATCTAAAATATGTCATACTAAATACATGCAAAAGCATGGTAAATATATACCAATTTAAAAAAAGTAATTATTGCTTATTTCAAATCAATTCAGACAACTTTGTCCACATAAGTGGGGGGTTTGGCCATGCATCAATATAAAAGATGTTAAACAGAGGATATTAAAGAGAGAGACCTAAAAATAGAAGCAGGCAAACATTCCAGTCCAGGTATGATAGATATTTAAAAAGCTGTTTCCCCTGCAGAACGGTTTGCCATAACTCATGCCCCGAGTCGGGTCCGAGAGGGGAATCCTCCCAACTCCCGACTTACCTATAAACAGCATGGAATGTTTTCTTGCAAACTTCAGGCCTTCATTCCTGTCTAGCTCGTGGTTTTCCTAAAACAAAGAAGAGTCATCTTTTATGAGGTCTGTCCGGTATACCTGTCAGCTACTGGGAATGTGACTGGGCTGGGTACACGGGAAACATACACTACATTTACATTTACATTTATAGTCATTTAGCAGACGCTCTAATCCAGAGCGACTTACAGTTAGTGAGTGCATCATATTTTTCATACTGGCCCCCGTGGGAATCGAATCCACAACCCTGGCATTGCAAGTACATGCTCTACCAACTGAGCTACAGGAGGCCCTACATGACCAAAGGTATGTGGACACCTGCTCGTCGAACATCTCAATCCGAAATCACGGGCATTAATATGGAGTTGGTCCCCCCTTTAAGTTATAACAGCCTCCACTCTTCTGGGAAGGCTTTCCACTAGATGTTGGAACATTGCTGCAGGGACTTGCTTCCATTCAGCCACAAGAGCATTAGTGAGGTCAGGCACTGATGTTGGGCGATTTGGCCTGGCTCGCAGTCGCGTTCCAATTCATCCCAAAGGTGTTCAATAGGGTTGAGGTCAGGGATCTGTGCAGGCCAGTCAAGTTCTTCCACACCGATCGACAAACCATTTCTCTATGGACCTCACTTTGTGCACGGGGGCATTGTCATGCTGAAACAGGAAAGGGCCTTCTTCTGTTGCCACAAAGTCGAAAGCACAGAATCGTCTAGAATGTCATTGTATGCTGTAGCATTAATATTTCCCTTCACTGGAATCAAGGGGCCTAGCCCGTACCATGAAAAACAGCCCCAGACCATTATACCTCCTCCACCAAACTTTACAGTTGGCACTATGCGTTGGGGCAGGTAGCATTCTCCTGGCATCCGCCAAACCCAGATTCGTTCGTCGGACTACCAGATGGTGAAGCGTGATTCATCACTCCAGAGAACGCGTTTCCACTGCTCCAGAGTCCAATGGCCGCGAGCTTTACATCAATCCAGCCAACGCTTGGCAATGCGCATGGTGATCTTAGGCTTGTGTGCGGCTGCTCGGCCATGGAAACCCATTTCATGAAGCTCCTGACATACAGTCATTGTGCTGACGTTGCTTCCAGAGGCAGTTTGGAACTCTGTAGTGAGTCTTGCAACCAAGGGACGGACGATTTCTACGCGCTTCAGATCTTGGAGGTCCAGTTCTATGAGCTTGTGTGGCCTACCACTTCACGGCTGAGTAGTTGTTGCTCCTAGACATTTCCACTTCACAATAACAGCACTTACAGTTGACCGGCGTAGCTCTAGCAGGGCAGAATTTTGACAAACTGACTTGTTGGAAAGGTGGCATCCTATGACGGTGCCATGTTGAAAGTCACAGAGCTCTTCAGTAAGGCCATTCTACTGCCAATGTTTGTCTATGGAGATTGCATGGCTGTGTGCTCGAATTTATACACCTGTCAGCAATGGGTATGGCTGAAATAGCCAAATCCACTAATTTGAAGGGGTGTCCACATGTTTTGTATAAATAGTATAGTATAGGAGAGTACAGTCAGTGCCACAGCCAAATGCCAGTACTGTACATTATATATACTCAAGTTATATTCTACTACAGGGTTAAGAAACAACAAACAAGGTCATACTATGGTGGAAGACGATACATACAGGCAGCAGGATACATTTAAATGGAATTACATGGGTTTTTTTAAACACAGACTTAGGGAACTAAACCCAGAGAAAACATTTGGTTGAACATCTGAGTGTTTTCAAAACACTGCTGTGGGTCACATAGACTCAGGCTGTGTTAAAATGGGATGAGCCCTCTCCTCTCAGCCCAACCAGGTGGGGTTAGTAATATTATTCACATTACATTCCAGCTCAATCTGTAAACTTGGAACAAACTACACCAAGTATTGAAGAATGTATCAAATATACACCAGTACAGCGTTTCCCCACCAGCAGTGGTGGCAAGGGTAGCGGGAGGGGGGTGGGATCTACAGGCACATATGGTTCTTTCAACAAAGAGTACATTGTGCAGTCAGTTAGATGCATTACTACGAGCGACATATTTATTCAAAAGATATACAATATAATACATTTTGAATAAATGAATATAGGGGAAATACTGGGGTATGATCTAAACGTAGAATATCAAGAAAAATTGGATATTGGTTTGGGGTAGGTCAATATACAGTGAGGGAAAAAAGTATTTGATTTTGTACGTTTGCCCACTGACAAAGAAATGATCAGTGTATAATTTTAATAGTAGGTTTATTTGAACAGTGAGAGACAGAATAACAACAAAAAAATCCAGAAAAACGCATGTCAAAAATGTTATAGATTTGCATTTTAATGAGGGAAATAAGTATTTGACCACCTCTCAATCAGAAAGATTTCTGGCTCCCAGGTGTCTTATACAGGTAACGAGCTGAGATTAAGAGCACACTCTTAAAGGGAGTGCTCCTAATCTCAGCTTGTTACCTGTATAAAAAGACACCTGTCCACAGAAGCAATCAATCAGATTCCAAACTCTCCACCATGGCCAAGACCAAAGAGCTCTCCAAGGATGTCAGGGACAAGATTGTAGACCTACACAAGGCTGGAATGGGCTACAAGACCATCGCCAAGCAGCTTGGTGAGAAGGTGACAACAGTTGGTGCGATTATTCGCAAATGGAAGAAACACAAAATAACTCCTTCGGCCTGGGGCTCCATGCAAGATCTCACCTCGTGGAGTTGCAATGATCATGAGAACGGTGAGGAATCAGCCCAGAACTACACGGGAGGATCTTGTCAATGATCTCAAGGCAGCTGGGACCATGGTCACCAAGAAAACAATTGGTAACATACTACGCCGTGAAGAACTGAAATCCTGCAGCGCCCGCAAGGTCCCCCTGCTCAAGAAAGCACATATACATGCCCGTCTGAAGTTTGCCAATGAACATCTGAATGATTCAGAGGAGAACTGGGTGAAAGTGTTGTGGTCAGATGAGACCAAAATTGAGCTCTTTGGCATCAACTCGCCATGTTTGGAGGAGGAGGAATGCTGCCTATGACCCCAAGAACACCAGGTGGAAACATTATGCTTTGGGGGTGTTTTTCTGCTAAGGAGACAGGACAACTTCACCGCATCAAAGGGACGATGGACGGGGCCATGTACCGTCAAATCTTGGGTGAGAACCTCCTTCCCTCAGCCAGGGCATTGAAAATGGGTCGTGGATGGGTATTCCAGCATGACAATGACCCAAAACACACGGCCAAGGAAACAAAGGAGTGGCTCAAGAAGAAGCACATTAAGGTCCTGGAGTGGCCTAGCCAGTCTCCAGACTTTAATCCCATAGAAAATCTGTGGAGGGAGCTGAAGGTTCGAGTTGCCAAACGTCAGCCTCGAAACCTTAATGCCTTGGAAAGATCTGCAAAGAGGAGTGGGACAAAATCCATCCTGAGATGTGTGCAAACCTGGTGGCCAACTACAAGAAACGTCTGACCTCTGTGATTGCCAACAAGGGTTTTGCCACCAAGTACTAAGTCATGTTTTGCAGAGGGGTCAAATACTTATTTCCCTCATTAAAATGCAAATCAATTTATAACATTTTTGACATGCGTTTTTCTGGATTTGTTGTTATTCTGTCTCTCACTGTTCAAATAAACCTACCATTAAAATGATAGACTGATCATTTCTTTGTCAGTGGGCAAATGTACAAAATCAGCAGGGGATCAAATACTTTTCCCTCACTGTAATGAATAGAGGATAACTGAAAAGCAGGAAATTCCCTGCATATAGAATGTGTTGATTCTATGAGGGGGAAAACCCTTGTTACCCATCAAGTATCAACAAACATTTCCCCCTGATTATAGCACAATTCTAGCCTAAATGACACACTGTATACAAACAAACGGACTCACCTTATCAATTTTGTTCCCGACCAGCATCTTGACGAGGTCATTCCTTGTGCAGTACGTCTCCAGCTCATTGAGCCAGTTGTCCAGCTTGGTAAAAGTATCCCGTCGCGTTACATCATACACTGAGGAAGAGACAAAGAGGTGAGGTGCTCGGTCAAAAACATTGTATCTGTCAGCAGATGACTGCAGGACATACTGTAACTGAGGGGGGGGGGGGGGGGGGGGGCATGTGACCTTTCCAACCATGTTTCAAACCCCCCCGACGCATCACAAGAATGTGTTTGTGTTATATCATAAAGTAGGCCTGAGCTGTGTATCAACACAAAGGGTAGTATAACACAGGTCCTACTACTACTAGGAAGTGTGTGTGAAATGTGCAAAATCTATATCACAAAATCTAACGCTTAGCCGACAGACTAGCACTGATGAGGAAATAAAGTACTTTTGTTTAGAAAGTCAGCTCTACTGCATCCATGGTGTTAGTGTGGCTATCATAGCCTCCTGATATAATGTAGGCTTTGGAGGATGTCTGCTCTAGCGTTAGGAGTAGTAATGTCAGTTCCAGAGAGTAAAGAGTAGGGGACAGGATGAAAAGCCATTACTGTCTTTATAGTGGCTGTCCGGACCAGCGGTGGCTGAATGTGTTTAAAGGGGTAGAGGCTGAATGATGAAGTTGCTCACCCAGGATGACTCCCTGCGCGCCGCGGTAATAACTAGGCGTCAGGGTTCGGAAACGCTCCTGGCCAGCTGTGTCCTGCAAAACACAACCATAACCATTAAAGCCCTGGGCACATCAAAACAAAACAGCTCTGGACACATCATAACAAAACAGCCCTGGGCACATCAAAACAAAACAGCTCTGGACACATCATAAAACAACCCTCTCAGCTATCGGGCTCTGGACACATGAGGAGGTAAATATAGTGGCGTGACTAGGACAGAACCATAAAAAGTGATGCAGGACCAGGACTAAAGCATAAAGAGAGATTTGACAGCCATTTGTCATTGGTGCTCAGAATGATGAACATCAGCACCATCTTGTGGAGGTTTAGTGAATCATTTATTAAGTGGCAGGCATTGTTGTGCATCGGAAGTTCAGCAATGAAATCACCATAAAAAGTGTCCTGCAGGACCAGGACTAAAGCATAAATAGAGATTTGACAGCCCTTTGTCATTGGTGCTCAGAATGATGAGCATCAGCGCCATCTTGTGGGGGTTTAGTGAATAATTTGTTAAGTGGCAGGGATTGCTGTGCATCGGAAGTTCAGCAATGAAATCTTTTTTACTAGCAAATAATTTTAATTCTTAGCTTTAAAAACACACACACCCATCCCTAGGAGTTGTCGACAACAATAACATAGGCCTATACCTTATACTAACTCCTTTGCAGCATTTTCAAGTCAGTTTTGAAAGGGACAGTGTGTGCAGAGGACAACTTACCCATATTGCCAACTTTGCCTTGTTCCCGTCCACTGAGATGGTCTTCACCTTGAAATCAACGCCTGCATAAGAAACACAGAAAGAAACACACACTCAAATCACAGATGGTGTCTTCACCATAGGTTGGTGCCTGGTGATTTGAGTCATCACACAGATCAAGAATATGAATCAAGAAGAAACATATGACGATATGAATCAAGAAGACAAATTAACCTGACTCATTTAAAATGAATGGTCAAAACATACATAGGCCTACATTTACCACACAATGTGTGTCTGAACTAAAACTGACCCTTCCACTATTCAGACAGGGGCTGAGCCTTATGCACTTAAATTATATTATGAGAGTCCTGATTTAAAACTGTGGGGAATATGTGGTTGAATATGTAAAGATCAAAATAAATATAGCAGATTGCAATAAAAACTCCACCTGCGACATCGCTCAGAAGTGCCATGATTCATCCTTTGAAATCCCCTCTTCTCGGTTCGAAAATACATTTACATAAAAATAACAGCGTCGTGCTCGTCACACTTGACGAGTAAATCTCCATGGCTTCTTTCAGAGCACATAGCATGAAGGGTTTGGCTGGACGTATTGCCCATAGTTTTAGCACGCACTGAAAGATTTATCAGGAATAACGTATGCTTGGGATGGGGTTGTTTTTATTTCTGGATCAGGCCCCAGACAAGAGCCAAAACAGAGAGGAGAAGGGGACGGGGAGGTGAAGACAGGAGGGACACATCTCCTCACCCTCCCCTCTTCCTACACCCCTCCACCCAAAATATTGTCAATCATGGCCTCTCGCTCTTCTCCGAGCCCGGCGGGTTGCTACGATACTGTCGCTAGCCGTGTAACTCGCAGAAGGATTTACAACTTACACTAAACTGTCAGGTCTGGGTTTGTTTATCCCTACAAGGCTGTGCTATTTAGCACTCACTACAGTGTAGACAGCAGTACAGGCAGTGCCATGATGCAGCATCTGGTTCATAACATCACCAAGCCAACAATAACTGACAATCACTGCGATGTAGTCAAGGTAGGGCTGTTGTGCTGCAGACTAAACTCTTTACGGGCGACCTGAAACGCCCCGAATACGTCTGATAAAATCTGGAACAGGCAACTCACAAAAACATTGTTTGTTTATTAATAAAACGGTACGTGGTGGAGCTTATGAGCGTGCAGGCGTATTGTTTTTATACCTACTTTTTTCGGCCCTGCACTCCACTAAATTATGTGTGTTTGATTTAAGTGATAATAACCTCGAAGCAGGAGTTTGGAGGATATATTGGCACGGGTGTTGTTAGGCCCGAGACGAAGTAACATCAAACTGAAGCTGGAAAGACTGCAAACTAGATGCACTTCGTTTCACCTTTTTGCAATTTACATTTATTTCTATATATCCATAAAAATGATGTCAGCTGATTCATGCCTGCATGTCTGTCTGTCCTGTCCCAACACGTTCATTACTATGGGACAGCTCGAGATCGAATTTGAATATTGAAACAATGTTGCAAATGTCAGAGAGACAGACAGCAAGGTTTATACAAATCACTGCTGTTGAAAACTAAATGTTAGTCTAAAAGAAATGTGAGATAATGTCTAGATGCTTTTTATAGTGGAGATCAAGTTTATAAAGTGCCTGGCTGGGCTGATGAGACAGTGGATTGCGCAGTCAGATGGAACAGAGTAAATAGTAATTTTAACATAGATTTAGCCAGTGGTAATTTGTGGAATATACACCGTCTGGAATGCGGGTTTAACCAATCAGCATTCAGGATTAGATCCGTTGTATAACACTTGATAACTCACACAGACAGCACACTAAGAACAACAACCACATGCACCAAAACAGTAGTAGTGCCAACAAAGTATTTTAACCGATTACAAATCTGAGGCTCTGTATTTATTCATGAGTACCGGTACACCTGAACCGGAGTTTCTCATCACGTTATTTAAGACAGAAAGTAGTTGGATGATAGGGAGGTCGTTTTATTTGGTTAGCTCTATTTAATGTCAAAGGGGTGCTACAAACCACATGTTCCGATACAGATTTTTTACATGCTGGCACAGAATTACAGTAATTCTCAAATAAGAGACCACGGTATGTTTATGCTAATATGACAGATATTGACAAGTGTAGATTTAACTTTTGCTTTATACAAAGCGAGGAAGGAGCAAGCAGGAATTGAGAGATACCAATGGTTTTCAGACCACAAATCACAAGGGACTTAGGTCAATGTGGGGAGTATAGCTAGACCTCTATGGGGACATCTGTTTGGCAAATATATTGAGTTGGCCAAGTAAAATAGGAGTGAAGCATGCCTACCAGAATTTTTTATTTATTACATGGAACTCTCTGTGGGAATCCACAGGCACGCATGGTTGTTTTAACAAAGGCTACATTGTGCAGTCAGAAGAACTTCTTATTGTAGAAAAAACAACACTATTTCGTTTTCGAGTCTCCCATTCTAAGTAATCAATAGCGCTATGAATTTTGAGCCTGTCTTTCACTAAGTCACTCCTGGATGTTAACTGTCTCAAGGCTACCTGAAAATAATAATAGGGGTGTCCTTGAAGAGTCTAATGTTTAATACCGTTTGGAATTCTGATATCATTTGCAGATCCTGGAAGAAAAGAAGGAATTCTCCATTTCCCAAACCATGTATTTCACCTCCAGATGAATGAATAACTCATTCACTGTAGACCGGGCTGTATCTCAAATTAATAGAGAGTAGATTATTATCCCCGAGTGGTGCAGTGGTCTAAGGCACTGCATCGCAGTGCTAGCTGTGACACTAGAGATCCTGGTTCGAATCCAGGCTCTGTCGTAGCCGGCCGCGACCGGGAGACCCATGGGGCTGCGCACAATTGGCCCAGCATCGTCCAGGATAGGGGAGGGAATGGCCGGCAGGGATGTAGCTCAGTTGGTAGAGCATGGCATTTGCAACGCCAGGGTTGTGGGTTCGATTCCAGTATGAAAAAATTAAATAAAAAATGTATGCGCTCACTAACTGTAAGTTGCTCTGGATAAGAGCATCTGCTAAATGACTTAAATGTAAATGAAATAGTTGGGATACTATAAAACAGACAGTTGTGATATTATCTATACTTTTCATTCAGAATAGCAGTCAGTGAGTAGCCTATTGTTACCTGGTCTGTTCATACAGTTGACACCCATATGAGCCCACTACAGGACTGACCAGGTCAAGCTACTCTGCTCTTAGCTCAGATAAGAGGGATCCTGTCCAGTACTGGCTGTGCTCACTGTCTGTGAGTGACCTCTTAGAAAATAGGCTAAGAGCTCAGCAGGCCCTGTCCATTAGGTTACTGTGTGATAGGATTAAATCAGGAGAACTGTCACTCAAACAAGAACTAATGATACTGACTGTTATGCGTGTGGGTTATAGTGGGCTAGTGACACTGCCGTCAGAAGGTATTACTCACCTATTGTTGCTGATAGTTCTGGATCAAATGTGTCATCTGTGAATCTCAAGAGAAGACTGCAAAAGAGAAAAAGACAAATACTTATAATTTGTATCATTTCCGTTTTAGCCTAGCACAATTACATTTAGGCCGATAGAGTTTTTACAGTACTGTATTACACGTTTGAAACAAGGGCAACTTCCACAAAGACAAATAGCCATGAGCACATAGGCCTACATATTCAATACACTAACAACCAGATGACATCATTGGTTGGTGGTCAGAGGGTCAGGGTTCAGTTTTGAGTCACTAATCAAGTGCTAGGAACGGAATCACAAGGCTAATGATGTAGCTAGCTAATCCTTCTTCTTTCCAGTCAACCCCAACACAGATAATAGCCCAATCCTCTAATTTTCTTATTCAACCATACACTCATTATCTTCATCCATATGGAAATGATTTATCAGATGGAATGTCAGAAGAATGACTGATCATTGTTTTATGTCAGTAGCCTGATACCTCAGTAGCAATGTTGTTACTTAGCCTACATAATAGCACAATAGCAGTGCAACAGGCCAATTTGTCTGGTAAAATGAAACCCTTATCCTCTGCCAGGGAGATTTCTAATGACTTGAAGAACTAGGAAGAGAGAGGGGAAATTTGAGAATGAGATCATGTATGTATTTAATCAATACATGATTAAAAATATATACATAATGTCAGTAGTGGATTGCGTCTAATTATATGATATTACTTTTTAACAATACTTAAAAATGCAAGGTAGAGGAAGTAACCCAAAATGGGAAGATGAAACACTAGCCGTGGCCCACATTATTCATACCAATAGCTAGCATTAATGTATTCTCACCAGGAAATGGCATTGCTTATGAGTCTATAGTTAACTACACATTATCTTTGACAAACAAAGAAGGAAAAGAGGATGGTTTAGTGAAATCATAGAATTCCATTGTTTGAGAGGCAGAACCAATGATTGTTGTTAGGGGATCATAGCAAACTGGCTAATGTAAAAAAGTGGTTTCCTATGCCACATCAGCTAGCTAATGTTAGTAAGTGTGACATAATCGGTTTGATGAGTTGGAGGTGTTGCAACAACAAGGATGACTGCAAGGAGTTATTTTCACACAGCTAACATCTTGATCCGCCTTTATTAGTCACTTCAGTATGAGTGAGTTTTGTAAGATTAAATCAGAACAATCATTTTGCTGGTAGTGTACAGATAACTAGGCTACTGCTTTATTAGGAAAGTTTCTGATTCAGTCAATTCAATTCAGGTGTTAAATGCTAGATGAATTTGATCAAAACTGAACTGGACATTTGACGCCTCCAATATGACAGCAGGGTTTAGCTAGGCTTTTGTGTCCTGAGTGAGAGTCTGATCAATCTTAGGCCTATGCCAAGACCAATGCCTTAGCTATAGTTAAAGAATTTGGCCAACTCAGCTGAGAGAGTTATTTTGTAATTTTTTATTTAACCTTTATTTAACCAGGTAAACCAGTTGAGAACAAGTTCTCATTTACAACTGCGACCTGGCCAAGATAAAGCAAAGCAGTGCGATAAAAACAACAACACAGAGTTACATATGGGGTAAACAAAACAAAGTAAAAAATACAACAGAAAATCTATATACAGTATGTGCGAATGTAGTAAATTATGGAGGTAAGGCAATAAATAGGCCATAGTGCAAAATAGTTACAATTTCGTATTAACACTGGAATGATAGATGTGCAAAAGATGATGTGCAAATAGAGATACTGGGGTGCAAATTAGCAAAATAAATAACAATATGGGGATGAGGTAGTTGGATGGGCTAATTACAGATGGGCTGTGTACAGGTGCAGTGATCGGTAAGCTGCTCTGACAACTGATGCCTAAAGTTAGTGAGGGAGATAAGAGTCTCCAGCTTCAGAGACTTTTGCAGTTCGTTCCAGTCATTGGCAGCAGAGAACTGGAAGGAATGGCGGCCAAAGGAGGTGTTGGCTTTGGGGATGACCAGTGAGATATACCTGCTGGAGCGCAGACTACGGGTGGGTGTTGCTATAGTGACCAGTGAGCTAAGATAAGACGGGGATTTGCCTAGCAGTGATTTACAGATGACCTGGAGCCAGTGGGTTTGGCGACGAATATCATTTAACATTTTAGTCATTTAGCAGATGCTCTTATCCAGAGCGACCTACAGTTAGTGAGTGCATACATTTTCATACTGGCCCCTGTGGGAAACGAACCCACAACCCTGGTGTTGCAAGCGCCATGCTCTACCAACTGAGGTACAGGGGACTATGTACTGAGGGCCAGCCAACAAGAGCGTACAGGTCACAATGGTGGGTAGTATATGGGGCTTTGGTGACAAAACAGAGGGCACTGTGATAGACTACATCCAATTTGCTGAGTAGAGTGTTGGAGGCTATTTTGTAAATGACACCGCCAAAGTCAAGGATTGGTAGGATAGTCAGTTTTACGAGGGCATGTTTGGCAGCATGAGTGAAGGAGGCTTTGTTGCGAAATAGGAAGCCGATTCTAGATCTAACTTTTGATTGGAGATGCTTAATGTGAGTCTGGAAGGAGAGTTTACAGTCTAACCAGACACCTAGGTATTTGTAGTTGTCCACATACTCTAGGTCAGACCCGCCGAGAGTAGTGATTCTAGTCGGGTGGGCGGGTGCAAGCAGCGTTCGGTTGAAGAGCATGCATTTAGTTTTACTAGTGTTTAAGAGCAGTTGGAGGCCACGGAAGGAGTGTTGTATGGCGTTGAAGCTCGTTTGGAGGTTTGTTAACACAGTGTCCAATGAAGGGCCAGATGTATACAAAATGGTGTCGTCTGCATAGAGGTGGATCCGAGCATCACCAGCAGCAAGAGCAACATCATTGATATACACAGAGAAAAGAGTCGGCCCGAGAATTGAACCCTGTGGCACCCCCATAGAGACTGCCAGAGGTCCAGACAACAGGCCCTCCGATTTGACACATTGAACTGAGAAGTAGTTGGTGAACCAGGCGAGGTAGTCATTTGAGAAACCAAGGCTATTTAGTCTGCCAATAAGAATGCGGTGGTTGACAGAGTCGAAAGCCTTGGCCAGGTCGATGAAGACGGCTGCGCAGTACTGTCTTTTATCGATCGCGGTTATAATATCGTTTAGGACCTTGAGCATGGCTGAGGTGCACCCATGACCAGCTCGGAAACCGGATTGCATAGCGGAGAAGGTACGGTGGGATTCGAAATGGTCGGTTAGAGTCATAATCTTAAATGGGTGCCATGTTTGCGCCATAAGTTTCAAGAAGAAATTCCAGGCCGTCATTGTAAATAAGAATTTGTTCTTAATTGAGTCGCCTGGATAAATAAAGGTTAAATAAAAAAAGACTCTTCGCATCTTCACATCTCATAACTTATCTCGCTAAAATACTCAAGCAAATCCTGCCAGACAAAAAAATGCTTGAAAAGGCTTAAAATCGTATAAAATAACTATTTGTCCCTTGTTGCAGATGCAGTTTGGGAGTGTCTCTTGCCAGTCAGGTGGAAGGAATATCCAGCTGCAGCGAGTCGGTCATTTCTTCAATTAAACTCATTTATTTGATTATTTTGAGAAACTGAAGGCTGTCTGGTCTGAACCATTGGCCTTAAATGAAAATTACATCTGACTACTGGGTGGAGCAGTGCAGGTGCACTAGTCCTCATGCTGTAGTAATATAACATAGCCCTACTATTTGATGGTTCAAGGCTCACTCAGACATACCAGCATTCTTCCTAGCAGTCTAGAGTAGAGCCAGAGAAATGCACAGCTTGGTAAACTATACTCCATGTTGGCTCCAACCATTCCATGACAATAACATCCTACTTTGCATTCTTTCTAGAATTTCTTCTTGGAACTTGTTGCCAACATGGCACCCACTAAGATTCTAACGCTCTCAGATGAGTTGGCCAAACTCTTTAGTTATTGCTAAGACATTGGCCTTGATTCTTGAGTCTTGGCATAAGCATTTTAGACTCACTGGGTCTCACTCAGGACATAGGCCTAGATAAACCTTGCTGTCATATTGGAGGCGTCAAATGTCCAGTCAAGTCTTGATTAGATTAATCTAGCATAACTAACACCTGAATTTAATTACACTTGAATTGATCACTTCACTGACACTTTTCCTAATAAAGCAGTAGCCTAGTTATCTGTACACTACCAGCAAAATGATTGTTCTGATTTAATCCTACAAAACTCACTCATACTGGCGTGACTAATAAAGGCATATCAAGATGTTAGCTGTGTGAAAATAACTCCTTGCAGTCATCCTTGTTGTTGTTGCAACACCTCCAACGCATCACATCGATGACGTCACACGTTCCAGATAGAACAGCTAGCTAGCTAGCTTCCTAACGTTAGCTAGCTGATGTGGCATAGCAAACGATTGTGTTACATTAGCCTGTTTACTATGATCTCCTAACAACATATGTTGGTTTTTGCTTTGTTAACAATCAAGCTATCTGGTTAACAGACAAAGTACGAAAACATGGTCATTTACTTATTGGTAATTTTTTAACGAGACAACAAGAGCTCCTAGCTAAAGTTAATCGTTCCAGCTACTGTTAACTACAACTTCAGTTCAGCTAACGTTAACGAGCTAACCAGCTTTCTTACCTGGACTTTCCAACGCCACTTTCTCCAATTATTAATATTTTCAGTGTTGTTAAAACGTCGTCTTCCATCTTCCTACGCTATCAATAGACTATATTTATACTTCAACTGAGAGCTGTAAAAATACACCCTAGAAGAGATGTTTGTCAGTTAGCTAATGAGACTTCTTCTTTAAATTTGTATCGGCGGATCGCAATCAACTGAACAGTCTATTGACCGCCACCTACTGTACTGGAGTGAGGCAGGTCACGGCCTCCCTATATAGAGCAACACAGTATGAGTCATAATACCCAGAAAACCTAGCGGTCAAACAGGGAAATGTTTCCAATCGTTTTTCCACCATTAATTTTCCCCATAGGGTATTTTAGAAAGACTTCTGTGTAGGCTTAACCTGGTGTGACGTTTTGATAACTGTGTAAATCTCTCTCAGACAACATGCCTTTTATCAATATATTCACCCCCTCCAAAATGAAATGCCAATTACCTGTTTATGTGGCTATCATACAGAACTACAAATTCCATGATGATCTGGACGAGACTGGCGAATCAAGGCAAAGGTAAGAATCTCTGGATTAACTATCTAATGTTAGCTAAATGTAGTAATTAATACATTGGCTACATTTCTTTAAATTGACAATTCTGTGAACTGTCTTGGGCAAGTTTGACATTTAAACAATACCTGTTAGCAAAGGTGTCAGCTAGAGATTACATGCTGGAGCTTGCAGGGATTTGTAGTCTTGCATGATGTCTACTTTGATGCTAATTAGTATTTTTGAATCTGAGAGTAAATTGAGCCGAATATATTGATAAAAGTCACCTTGTCCGAAAGAGATTTACACGGTTATCAAAACGTCACGCCAGGGTAAGCCTACACGAAACACCGTCCTTATTTTATTTAAGTGTTTCTAAAATCCCCTATAGGAAAATTGATTGGAATTATTTCCCTGTTTGACCGCTAGGTTTTTGGGGTATTATGACAAGGCCACTGTGGGGCTCTGTTGTCTTATCTAGCCCTGTGTTTCCGCCTACTATTCTGGAGTGTGAATTCATTACACTTTGTGACACAAAAAGGAAGTTACCCTACCAACTAACCCTACACCCATTAGAAACCTCACCACTATTCCACTATTGGCCCTATCTGATCCTCCTGGGCCTCCTGTAGCTCAGTTGGTAGAGCACGGCGCTTGCAACGCCAGGGTTGTGGGTTTGATTTCCACGGGGGGCCAGTATGAAAAATGTATGCACTCACTGAAACTGTAAGTCGCTCTGGATAAGAGCGTCTGCTAAATGACTAAAATGTAAATGTACACTAGGCCGGAGACTTCTTCTTCTTCTGTGGGGTTTTACGGCGGACTACATCCTATTATGGTGTATTGCCGCCACCTACTGGGTGGGGTGAAAACTGGGAGGCTTTAAATAATATAATAATATGCCATTTAGCAGACGCTTTTATCCAAAGCGACTTACAGTCATGCGTGCATACATTTTTTTTTTGTGTATGGGTGGTCCCGGGGATCGAACCCACTACCTTGGCGTTACAAGCGGCGTGCTCTACCAGCTGAGCTACAGAGGACTTTAACGCCCTCCAACTCTTCAACAACATTTTCTTCATCCTGCACACACTTGACGTGTGTCCAAACTTTTTACAATTCTGGTATAACACTGGAGATTTTCGCACACTTCCGGTTTAGTTGGTAGACAATGTACAATGTTAAGTGAGTTTTCTATTCAGAGTTACACATGCACATCCTTTGCTTAAGTAGCAAACTGCTTTTAATAACAATATACAGTCGTTGATTAACAGGCAATATGTGATGTTTATCTTGTTGTTCCATCAAACTGTGCCTTCCCCGGCTCCCCATAATAACACCATGCCTCCTTTCTATTACACTTAGCAATGCTCAAATAAAATAAGCATTCCACATGCCATTTATATACTTTATTTAATAAATACATTCCGAAACAGCATTAGGAAAAGTGAACATATTGAAATAAAAGTCACTTTAAAAACAAGATGTGTGGTATTGTGAGACATTTTTAGTATATAAAAAACAATTCCAAGAGGCCTTTTACTTTAATACTGATTTTACACAAACACTGTTACAGATTAATAAAAGTCACTTTAAAAACAAGATGTGTGGTATTGTGAGACATTTTAGTATATTAAAAACAATTCCAAGAGGCCTTTAACTTTAATACTGATTTTACACAAACACTGTTACAGATGAAAGGTGTTACAACCTCCCTACCCCCACCATTGAACCAATGTGGAATATACGTTGAATTGACGTCTGTGCCCAGTGGGAAGGCTTTGCAATGAAGGCATATATTTGGCTTTGCTTGGAATGAGCACAGAAAAGGACCTGAGGTTGAATACTGAAATCTTATAGAATATAACTATATTATACTAAAAATAAATTAAACTTCACATTTTGTCACATGTCAATTGATTGTGTAATTAAGTGATTTAGATGACTTTATCCCATTAATACAAGTGGTTTTCAATCCCTTTAAAATAGACTGTTTATGACAGTCTTATGACAGAATGTATTGTTAGTCTTTTCAGTCCTTTCGCAAGGCAAACTGGTCCTCATCAATAGTGCAATGATCACTTTTAAAACATCAATGTAATAGTTCTTAGCACTTCTTCACCCATTAACTGTTATCTGATGACAAGGTTAGAGTCAACCAATGGTTTTCTATGATTGACAATTATGTGATTGATGTGATAAATAAACCTTTAAAAACTGCGCTCAATGATAAATCCAGATTCTTGTAATCCTGCTTGATGGATGACTAAGTTATACACCAATCTATGTGTTTACCCTATGGCTGAAAAAATACTTTATAAACACAATGCAAAAGGTATGCTTTAGTCTCAGGTCCTGTCTGAAACTCAATTGCTGCGTTCCAAATGTCACTCCATTCCCTATATACAGTAGATCTCTACTTTTGATCAGAGCCCATTGGCCCTCGTCAAAAGTAGTGCACTATAAAGGGAATAGAGTGCCATTTGGAATACAGCCATTGTCTCTGAAAGGTACAGCCTTTTGCCCATACCAGTCCTGTGGCAAAAACCTTAATTTCAACCAGTTGTTCAAGAAATAAAAGAAAGCATCTAAAAGTATATACACATAACTGTACATTTTTTAAAGACAATGAATAGAAAATAAAATGTTAGTAAAAATACCAAGTGTATTGGCCAAATGTAATGTTATAATACTGAAGCGACAAAAATAAGAAATGACTAAATACATACAAATGAATCCCACCTTCCATGCCCCTATCCCTCACACCCTCTATCCGCTAGAACTATATTTGCATACAGTGTTTTTCAGGGAGAACTGAAGCTCCATCATTTGCCTTCATATTTGGGGTTGACCACTGTCGTAACAGCACTCTTGTAGATAGGGTTTTCGCCCTGGAAGGGACAAGAGAAACAAGGAGAAAATGTTAGAATTGTAATGTACAGTCAGACATATTATATCTGTCACATAACATGTCAGTTGTATGACAAAATCTGCAACATGAGACAATTTATTAGGAAAAAAACACCACAGCAAAATCAGAGCCATCCATTTAAAATATCAAATTATTAAGCATTCTTTGGACAGATTTTTTCAACTGATCGTGCTATCACGTGGATATTTTGGTGTCATTATGAGTGAGCATTTATGTGTTGTCATCCAGGTAACACTTTTAGAAGAAATATCAACAAACGTCACAGTCACAACATGCCATTTCCATCATACTCTAGCTTCAAATATCATACAAAATACTATACTAGGCTTCCATGTTATCACCTGTTAATACTTACCTCTATTCAAACTACTAACAGAGGGGACAGTTTATGTTGACCAACAAAACAATAGGTATTATTGTGGGTTTTAATATCCCCTCATATGGATCTTTCTGCAGTTTCATCAACTGTCTTACGTGGCCCAAAGAGACCAAATGAAAGCCAGAAATATTGAGATTGATGAAATAGTGACAGTTTACAGTAAGTTGACAAACACAAATAAAGAAACATATATATATATATATATATATATATATATATATATATATATATATATATATACACACACAAACAAACAAACCCATGCAGAAAAACAGAGGAGAGGGGAAGTGAATACAAACTTATAGAACCACAGCTTTTTGTCCATAGTTCGGATTCTGGAACTTATTAATAGGGCTCTTGTAAATGGGATTCTCTTGCTATGGGTTGAGAGAGTGGGACAGAAAATTAAGAACAGGAAACAGAGAATGAAATGAAAAGCATGGGTAAAGATAAATAAGAAGGAATGAAAAAATCTATCCCTTGAGAAAGGGGTATTTCTACATCAGGAACCATCTCCCTTTGAGAATCATCTTACAGTGCTGGGTACATTCCCCTTTTAAACAGTACCAGTCAAAAGTTTGGACACACCTACTCATTCAAGGGTTTTTCTTTATTTTTACAATTTTTTACATTTTAGAATAATAGTGAAGACATCAAAACTATGAAATAACACATATGGAATGATATAGTAACCAAAAAAGTGTTAAACAAATCAAAATATATTTTATATTTGAGATTCTTCAAATAGCCACCCTTTGCCTTGATGACAGCTTTGCACATTCTTGGCATTCTCTCAACCAGCTTCATGAGGTAGTCACCTGGAATGCATTTCAATTAACAGGTGTGCCTTCTCAAAAGTTAATTTGTGGAATTTCTTTCCGTCTTAATGTGTTTGAGCCAATCAGTTGTGTTGTGACAAGGTAGGGGGGGGGTATACAGAAGATAGCCTTTTTTGGTAGAAGACCAAGTCCATTTTATGGCAAGAACAGCTCAAATAAGCAAAGAGAAACAACAGTCCCATCATTACTTTAAGACATGAAGTTCAGTCAATCTGGAAAATTTCAAGAACTTTGAAAGTTTCTTCAAGTGTAGTTGTAAAAACCATCAAGCGCTATGATGAAACTGGCTCTCATGAGGACCGCCACAGCAAAGAAAGATCCAGAGTTACCTTTGCTGCAGAGGATAAGCTCATTAGAGTTACCAGCCTCAGAAATTGCAGCCCAAATAAATGCTTCACAGAGTTCAAGTAACAGACACATCTCAACATCAACTGTTCAGAGGAGACTGTGTGAATCAGGCCTCCATGGTCGAATTGCTGCAAAGAAACCACTACTAAAGGACACCAATAAGAAGAAGAGACTTGCTTGGGCCAAGAAACATGAGCAATGGACATTAGACCGGTGGAAATGTGTCCTATGGTCTGGAATCCAAATTGGAGATTTTTGGTTCCAACTGCCGTGTCTTTGTGAGACGTGGTGTGGGTGAACGGATGATCTCTGCATGTGTATTTCCCACCGTAAAGCATGGAGGAGGAGGTGTTATGGTGTGGGGGTGCTTTGCTGGGACACTGTCTGTGATTTTATTTAGAATTCAAGGCACACTTAACCAGCATGGCTACCACAGCATTCTGCAGCGATACGCCATCCCATCTGGTTTGGGCTTAGTGGGACTATCATTTGTTTTTCAACAGGACAATGACCCAACCCAATTGAGATGGTTTGGGATGAGTCGGACCGTAGAGTGAAGGAAAAGCAGCCAACAAGTGCTCAGCATATGTGGGAACTCCTTCAAGACTGTTGGAAAAGCATTCCAGGTGAAGCTGGTTGAGAGAATGCCAAGAGTGTGCAAAGCTGTCATCAAGGCAAAGGGTGGCTATTTGAAGAATCTCAAATATAAAATATATTTTGATTTGTTTAACACTTTTTTGGTTACTACATCATTCCATATGTGTTATTTAATAGTTTTGATGTCTTCACTATTATTCTACAATGTAGAAAATAGTAAAAATAAAGAAAAACCCTGGAATGAGTAGGTGTCCAAACTTTTGACTGGTACTGTATGTATACAAGTCAGGTCAGTCTGCTCTCTCATACAGTCATTTAGGTCTGGTTTCTTCTCCATGTACCATAATGAGAGGGTCTAGAAGCCTCAGTGCCCTGCCCATGTCACCAGACCAGAGAGGCTCTCACGTGTGGCTGGTCTGACTGGGAGTTATCAGGATGAGCTGAATCATCAAGGATTTCAAACCCTGCCAGCTGTTCGGAATTTAACCTCTCCTGCAGTGTGGAAAACACGCCACTAGGTGGAAGCATAACACCGAACAAACTAAACTACTGTAGCCACTCCCACGAAAAGACGGATGTGTGGCCAGGGACCTTCACCTTCCAAAAAGGCTTCCCTTTTTCATAGCTGTATTTTGCACAGAGATTACTTGAAACTACAGGGTTATAAGAACATTTTAAACAAACTGTTGGGTAGGACTGTGTAAAAATGTGTGTGACATCTTATGAAGTCATCGTCTAAAGGAACAGGCCTGTTACAGTCATCAAAGGTTGAGAGAGAGTAAAACATGTCCAATTCCTTTAGGAGTCTGTTCTCTGTGTAAGAGATTCACACAGTGGCCATATCTATAACACCTGTTTTCCACATCTCAATCAACCTACTGAAATTACAGTCAGGGAGAACACAAACTAGGACCTGCAAAAGTACATCATCATCATCATCATCATCCCCATTATAGGCCATTACAAACAGTTCTCCAAGATGGTTTCCTGGTCCTGTATCTACCATCTCCACTCTCTTACCGTGTCCCATTTAGCATTCATCTTCTCCTTCTCAAACTTGGCGAACTCTCTCCTGTCGTGGATGATCATGAGCAGCTTCCAGATGAGAAGCAAGGTCAGGCCGATCAGCACGATGCCCGCCACCACGCCAGCCACGATGGGGATGATGTCAGGACCTGCAGGGCAGTCTGGAACACGGCAGGAAACACACAGCCAGGAACATTCAGTTATCCCAACTTTTATTTATTTAAGCAGGCAAGTCAGTTATTGTAAGAGCAAATGCTTATTTACAATGACATCCTGATTTGCATTATATCTAGACTCAGGAACTTTACCTGACCATGTAAGCTGACCAGGAAGAACATTAAGCCTGAGTACTAGGCCCTAGTACCAGTAGAGCCTAGAGTTTTTCCTAGTCAGCTCAAAAACTCCTGGCTCTAATCACAACACGACTCGATAGACAAACAAATAACCTACTTTTTCACTCTGTTATATCCTCAGTCACAATGACTGTATGTTATATGGGCTGTATGTAATATGCTCTCACCTAGTGTTTCCACCACATGGACCTCCTTCTCTGTCTTGTTGACAGCGTAGGTGTAGTAGAACCAGCAGTCATTGGCATCCCTCTCCTTACAGTGCATCAGGGGGAAGGCCTGTCCTGGCTGAGGCAGCTTGTCTCTGTCCTTCACCTTGATCAGGTTGAAGTAGCTACAGTCTCTCTTACACGTGTCCTTCTTCTCCCCCGTCCCAAAGGCCCTGCACTGAACACACTCCCTGTGGAAGACAGGACATTGACATGTAACTCTGTACCGATGGAGTAACACACGCAGGTAGTCTCACAATGTGATGCTTCCTAGACTTGTGACATATTCACTAGTCTACTGGAATGCAAGAAAGCTGGATATTGAGGTTCCACTCCACATGCAGGTGTCTATAGTGGACAATGCTATACCCTAGCCAGCACTACTGATTGTAGATATCACAGTTGTGTCTAGACTGTTCATTGGCCCCTTTCTTGGAATTATCAGAAGAAAATAAACAAAGGTCACAATAATAATTGAGGTTAAGCTGGATAAAGGAAGACCGCGTACAACGCTGTGTACTACTCCCTTCACAGAACAGCGCAAACTGTCTCTAACCAGAATAGAAAGAGGAGTGGGAGGCCCCGGTGCACAACTGAGCAAGAGGACAAATACATTAGAGTGTCTAGTTTGAGAAACAGGCACCTCACAGGTCCTCAACTGGCACCTTCATTAAATATTACCCGCAAAACACCAGTCTCAACGTCAACAGTGAAGAGGCGACTCCGGGATGCTGACCTTCTAGGCAGAGTTGCAAAGAAAAAGCCATATCTCAGACTGGCCAATAAAAAGAAAAGATTAAGATGGGCAGTCTGAGATATGGCTTTTTCTTTGCAACTCTGCCTAGAAGGTCAGTATTCCGGAGTCGCTGCTTCACTGTTCATGTTGAGACTGGTGTTTTGCGGGTACTATTTAATGAAGCTGCCAGTTGAGGACCTGTGAGGCGTCTGTTTCTCAAATTAGACACTCTAATGTATTTGTCCTCTTGCTCAGTTGTGCACCGGGGCCTCCCACTCCTCTTTCTATTCTGGTTAGAGACAGTTTGCGCTGTTCTGTGAAGGGAGTAGTACACAGCATTGTACGAGGTCTTCCTTTATCCAGCTTAACCTCAATGATTATTGTGACCTTTGTTTATTTTCTTCTGATAATTCCAAGAAAGGGGCCAATGAACAGTCTAGACACAACTGTGATATCTAAAATCAGTAGTGCTGGCTAGGGTCTTCAGTTTCTTGGCAATTTCTCGCATGGAATAGCCTTTATTTCTCAGAACAAGAATAGACTGACGAGTTTCAGAAGAAAGTTATTTGTTTCTGGCCATTTTGAGCCTATAATCGAACCCACAATTGCTGATGCTCCAGATACTCAACTAGTCTCAAGAAGGCCAGTTTTGTTGCTTCTTTAATCAGCACAACAGTTTTCAGCTGTGCTAACATAATTGCAAAAGGGTTTTTTAATGATCAATTAGCCTTTTAAAATGATAAACTTGGATTAGCAAACACAACATGCCATTGGAACACTGGACTGATGGTTGCTGATAATGGGCCTCTGTACGCCTATGTAGATATTCCATTAAAAATCAGCTGTTTCCAGCTACAATAGCCATTTACAACATTAACAATGTCTACACTCTATTTCTGATCAATTTGATGTTATTTTAATGGACAAAAATATAGCTTTTCTTTGGAAAACAAGGACATTTCTAAGTGACCCCAAACTTTTGAACGGTAGTGTACATTTTAAGAAACGTTGGTAAATTAGCTTTTATTGTTTAAAGAAATTATGAAAGAGATTGGTGTGTTTTCCACTATCTAATCATGACATGGGGTTGATCAATGACAGACATGTATTTGTTTAAAATCTATCACTTGATGGTTTCATTTCAGAGACAAAAATCATGTTTTTTTAAAGAACTGTACAAATCATACATTTGTGACATAGAAAAAATAATCTATACAGTAATATGAGATCTGTCTGTAAAAAAATTTACATTTAATATTTTAGTCATTTAGCAGATACTTTTAGTCGCTTTGGATAAGAGTAAGTGGATTTATCTTAAGATGGCTAGTTGTGACAACCACATATCACAGTCAAATATACAGGATATGAACATTCCATTCAAGGCTAAACAATGGACAGACAAGACCTGAGACTAAAGCATACAGTTGAAGTCGGAAGTTTACATACACTTAGGTTGGAGTCATTAAAACTCGTTTTTCAACCACTCCACAAATTTCTTGTTAACAAACTATAGTTTTGGCAAGTCGGTTTGGACATCTACTTTGTGCATGACACAAGTAATCTTTCCAACAATTGTTTACAGACAGATTATTTCACTTATAATTCACTGTATCACAATTCCAGTGGGGTCAGAAGTTTACATACACTAAGTTGACTGTGCCTGTAACAGCTTGGAAAATGATGTCATGGCTTTAGAAGCTTCTGATCGGCTAATTGACATCATTTGAGTGAATTGGAGGTGTACCTGTGGATGTATTTCAAGGCCTACCTTCAAACTCAGTGCCTCTTTGCTTGACATCATGGGAAAATCAAAAGAAATCAGCCAAGAACTCAGACAAAAAAATAGTAGACCTCCACAAGTCTGGTTCATCCTTGGGAGCAATTTCCAAACACCTGAAGGTACCACGTTCATCTGTACAAACAATAGTACGCAAGTATAAACACCATGGGACCACGCAGCCGTCATACCGCTCAGGATGGAGACGCGTTCTGTCTCCTAGGGAGGAACGTACTTTGGTGCAAATCAATCCCAGAACAACAGCAAAGGACCTTGTGAAGATGCTGGAGGAAACAGGTACAAAAGTATCTATATCCACAGTAAAACGAGTCCTATATCGACATAACCTGAAAGGCCGCTCATCAAGGAAGAAGCCACTGCTCCAAAACCGCCATAAAAAAAGCCAGACCATGGTTTGCAACTGCACATGGGGACAAAGATCGTACTTTTTGGAGAAATGTCCTCTGGTCTGATGAAACAAAAATAGAACTGTTTGGCCATAATGACCATCGTTATGTTTGGAGGAAAAATGGGGTGGCTTGCAAGCCGAAGAACACCATCCCAACCGTGAAGCACGGGGGTGGCAGCATCATGCTGTGGGGGTGCTTTGCTGCAGGAGGGACTGGTGCACTTCACAAAATAGATGGCATCATGAGGAAGGAAAATTATGTGGATATATTGAAGCAACATCTCAAGACATCAGTCAGGAAGTTAAAGCTTGGTCGCAAATGGTTCTTCCAAATGGACAATGACCCCAAGCATACTTCCAAAGTTGTGGCAAAATGGCTTAAGGACAACAAAGTCAAGGTATTGGAGTGGCCATCACAAAGACCTGACATCAATCCTATAGAATATTTGTGGGCAGAACTGAAAAAGTGTGTGTGAGCAAGGAGGCTTACAAACCTGACTCCATTACACCAGCTCTGTCAGGAGGAATGGGCCAACATTCGCCCAACTTATTGTGGGAAGCTTGTGGAAGGCTACCCGAAACGTTTGACCCAAGTTAAACAATTTAAAGGCCATTCTACCAAATACTAATTGAGTGTATGTAAACTTCTGACCCACTGGGAATGTGATGAAAGAAATAAAAGCTGAAAGAAATCATTCTCTATTATTCTGACATTTCACATTCTTAAAATAAAGTGGTGATCCTAACTGACCTAAGACAGGGAATTTTTACTAGGAATTTAAATGTATTTGGCTAAGGTGTATGTAAACTTCCGACTTCAACTGTACCTTTTGCAATGTGTATGATTTTGTTTTTTTTCTCATCTAAAATCTATGAATAAAAAATCTGAGAACAGTAATATTTTACACACACATGAAGGTACCCATAAGGAATCATTTCTGAAGAAAAAACACAAATGTGATTTTTTTAGGAATATACGTTATGGAAATAAACTCTTTTATATATTGTTGTTTTCTGCACAGTTAAAACAGCATCAAATGAACAAATACAATTCATTCAAATACTTTATTCAACTCACTTGTGTTCTGTGCAGACCCCTGGACAGGTGGGACAGATCTCACAGGTGGGACCCTGGAACTTTGCATCAGTGCACTTGCAGGTGCCACACTCACAGGTGCCTCGTCCATTACAGATCTGCTTGTTGGAGGCCAGGCAGGTCGTGGTGTCCAGAGAACAGTCACAGGCACTGCCTGTCCAGTTGGCATCACAGATACACACCCTGCACTCACAGCGACCATGTCCTGTCACAACACAACACACAGGGTCAGAGATTATCCTCCAAAGTTCAAACATAATTTCATATTATAGATAATATTCTAGATTAGAGATGAAATGAAGCTAAATTGAACACAGTAATTCTAATTTCGTAAAAGGCGATGTCTGAACTGATCAACTGATCTCTAATTTAATTGGGAAATTACCCATTACGCCACAAACACAGAGGTACTTTGTGCTCTGAGGAAGATGTTACACTTGTCTTCAGATGTAACACAGGTCTTGACCATCATTTCACAGCAAACAAAATCTTAATTGATCACCCAATAAATTGAACTCACGTACCTCCACAGAGTTTGTTGTTGGAGCGGTCACAGTTGAAGTTGTCACACTCGCAGAACTTCCCGCTGTAGCGTTCCTCGGGGTTCTCTCTCTTCTTACACTCACAGGTTCCACACACACAGTCTCCGTTGTTGCTGCAGATGTCTGTACCGTTGTCTTTACGGCAGTTCTTATCCAGGTCTTCACTGGTCACCTCGTTGGTGCTGCACTCACACTGTCTACCAATACGGCCCTCATTGCACCTGAGAGATAATAAAGACAACAAGGGAGGACTGCATAAAAGACTGCCTATGTAGAATATTCACATGCAAACAGATGCAATACACTTGAAAACAGTCACATGTCAATGGACCATAGAAATAGATTTACAACACATTATATACAGTATACAGTATCAAATATCATAATGTATCTCTATGCCATGGACATTATTACAATATGGAAGGTGAATAAGGGTTAAGATCTTCTGCTAGTAAAACATAAGTGCCTTACCTGCAGGCTCCACATTCATATGTCCCGTTGCCTTTGTGGCAGATCTCACTGTTCTCAATGCCGTCTTTGTGACAGTCACACTCGCAGATGAAGTTCAGAGCGATCTCCACCTCCTCAGTGAACCCTAGGGGCTTGATCTTGATGGTCTCTGGTTTGCCCATCTTAGGACACTGCTTAGCTGTGATGCTTATTGTGAAAGAAACCTACAGATCACACATAAGGGCATAATAGTCACATTTTGTAATAAAAACAATGACTTTGACAACTCAGACACCTACAGATAAGGAAAACATTATATTTACTTAATCAGAAAGCTAAAATAACTGAACCAGAAAGATACAAATAAAAATAAAAACGTGTTTAGAATAAAAAAACATTAAATGGCGTGTTGTTTTGGTTTCTCACCTCGTCCCCGATGGAGATATTGGAACATTTTCTTCCCATCTCTCCCTCACCAGTTACTCCGTTCTTGCAGCGTGACTGGTACGTTATGGTCACTCCCTCTGGTAGCTTGCTGTTCTCCAGAATCACCTCTGAGGAAAGAGACTAGCACACAGAACAACAATTAGCCCTCTGTATTGTTTCAAATATACTAAATATTCAGCAGGCTTCAGTTTTACAAATGCAGAAATGCATATTTTTGACTATTCCCATACAAAGATCAGTTCAGACAGAGAAATATGATGACTTAACAGTAGCAGCAGCATGGTTTTTACCAACTATTTTAAGGATGAAAGTTAGTGTATCTTCTCTAGTAACTAAACCAATCCAATCTAAACTTACATTGTAGGCATCAATAATGAGGTTGATAACATTGCTGGAGTTAGCAGAGAGTGTCCCCACCGCAGACTTAGGAATGAGATTCTTTAACTCCTGAGAGATAACACAGTAGAGTAAATTATCATGTACTAGTATGTCAATAGGAATCCTGTAAATCTCTAAATACACAGAAAAATCTAGAGCAAAACAGTTTTGCCTGACCCATTTAGATTGCTGAGTAGTTTGATTGTGGTCTGCATCACATAGTCGTAAGGCCTGAATCTAAAGTTAGAACTTTTTGTAGTGTTGTGAGGTTCTAAAATCTGAGATTCCAAGGCTGCGTCCCAAATGGCACTCAATTCCCTACATTGTCCCCTGTAGCTCAGTTGGTAGAGGATGGCGCTTGCAACGCCAGGGTTGTGGGTTCGTTTCCCACGGGGGGGGGGGGGGGGGCAGTATGAAAATGTATGCACTCACTAACTGTAAGTCGCTCTGGATAAGAGCGTCTGCTAAATTACCAAAATATCAATGTAATATCGGAAATAGGGTGCCATTTGGGACGCACAGTGTAATCAACTAAATGAGAACGCCATTCTGCCGAGGTTGACAGATTGCAAATATTGTCCAAACATCGGACTGATGGGGAAGGTCATTATGGAACTCCAGGCAGACATCTAATTGGCTTGAAAAGCACTAGAGGGCAGCAGGGAGCATACAGAGGCTGCTGCCTAAATGGCACCCTATTCCCAACAAAGTGCAGTACTTATGACCTCATAGGGCTCTCGCGAAAGTAGTTCACTTTTTAGGGAACAAGGTGCCATTTGGAAAACAACCAGAGATCCAAAGAGATGCTACTGGTAACAAGGAGCAGATGCTGCTCTTCAAAGGGCTGGGCTTCTTCTAACCTACAACAAACAAGCACAGAAACATGAAAATAAGAACATGTTTTCTACACACACGGTGTAATGGAACAACTGTCTGACCTTGTAAACAGGCTGGAACTCCTCTGTGATGGCAAAGATCGTCTGGATGTTGTTGTCGCTCAGTTTCTGAACCAGGTGAGCAATGGAGGGGTAGTCCTGTTACAGGGAGACAATGAGGAAGAACAGGTACCAGGTTAGCCCTTTGATGACATCACTAAGGGCAAGTAGCCCATTCCCTTCAAATCTTGTCATATTCAAAATTCAGAGCACACAGAAGACTAGAAAGACAAAGTCACAATACATGAAGTGCATTATTATACTACATAGTGCATTATTATACTACATAGTGCATTATTATACTACACAGTGTATTAGTTTACTACACAGTGGATTAGTTTACTACATAGTGGATTATTATACTACATAGTGTATTACTATACATACATAGTAGTGGCTCATTGTGTACATGTTGTTCTCCAGGTGACATTTCCCATCGTTGGGCAGAACGATCCCTCCCAGTTTCCCATCTCCAGCGAAGTGGAAGCCAGCATCAGTGGAGAACACCAGCAGACGGGTGACATTCCTCCAGCCAATGTGCTCCTGGGGAAGAGAGGGAGGGAGGGAGGCCTATTAAACCACATACAGAAAAAGGACACAGCCTACAGAAATACCAGAGAACAAAATTATAAGACTTACAAAAGATTCAGGAAGTATATCAACAACTATAAACAGCTATGTTAGAGGTTACCCTCTTAAAATAGCAGTTTAGCACCCTAGAATGAATTAACTCTCAAACGTTTTCTAAAACGGCCTTCTCTAAGCATAACACAGTAAGCCTTGACTCCAGCCATTCTCAAATGAGAATAGGGTGTTGAGGTCTGGTACCATGAGACTAATTCACAGTCTATATAAAACCCTGATATTATTAAGTATTATTGGAACTTTATGGGTGGTTTCCTGGACAGATATTAAGCCTAGTCCTGGAATAAAAAGCAAGCTCAATGGAGAAAGATTTCTAGTCCAGGACTAGGCTTGATCGGTGTCCGGGAAACTGCCCCTAAATATGATCATAAAAACATATTACTTACAGCACACACAGCCACTTGCATGATGGCATCGAAGCCTCCCTCTGGTGAGTCCAGGTTTCCAGAGATCTGCTGTTGTCCCACCAGGGTGTTGAACTCCTGTCCATTGCTGGTCAGCTTCAGGACGTTCTTATAGCTGAAGGGACTGGTGCAGTTCTGGTCCCCTGTACAGGGGTTCAGCAGCTTGGCTGGGGTGGTGCTAATGTAAGGCATCACCGTCTTCTCTACAAAGGAACCAAAACCTAGAAGAAGAAGAGGAGAAGATATCTATCCCATATATAAACTGTATTGGTAAGGAGACGGGACACCAATTTGTTAGCTTCAAAACATCTTTACTAAGATCAAACTGGATATGTTACACATGGCATTATGGGTATTGTAGTACAGTATAACTATGCAATATGCACCCAATCTTCTCCATTTGAAGTGGAGAAGAAGTTCAAAGAAATATGGACATCCTCAAGCCTCATACAACCGGGCTGATTCTCAATCTCACCGATTTTAAAATCAGTCGTGATCTTTGACATCTCCACCATCAGCTGTGTTCCCAGGTTCTTGACGTTTTCCAGATCGTCCTTCATGGAGTAGGACAGGTCCATCAGGTAGTAGAGGTCGATGGGGTAATCCTCAGCCCGTTTGAACTTCAGGTTAAAAGACTGGGGTTCACCTGCAGTACACAGACAAATAGGCAAGGTTAAGCCAGGGACTACATACTTGCTAACTCTGGCATATTTACATTGATGTGAACACTGAAATCTTGATAAATGTGCACTGTCCATGTCAAATAAAGTGCTGGCCTTCACATGAAAGAGTACAAGGAATACTCCTTCCACATCATAATTACAGCTGTACAGTTAATAGCTAAAACACACAAAGAAAATGGAGGCTACTGTAACTAATCAACATAACAATGAAAGACCACAGAAGAACAGCAGGAGAAATAAAAAAAGACCCTCAGCAACGCTGCTTCAACAATGGTTGTCAAGCAAGATGTTTTGGCTGAAGCAAAGTTAACTTAGACTGCATCTCAAATGGCACCCTATTCCTAACACTAAATAGGGAAAAGGGTGCCATTTGGGACACAACTTAATCAAACGTAACAGTTCCAGCTAAGTTCTTACCAGATCTGAGGCTGAGGGTGAGTTTCTGTGGCTGGATCTGTGTGATGTCCTCTGGTCGGAGATTCTCTGCTCCCTTGTTGCGGTTGGTCACAGCCTTGTTCTTCAGGAACCGCTGGCTGCCTCTGGGGTTTTCTACCTTGGCGGCGCTGCAACCTCTCTTCCTCAGGGACTCCAGCTCATCACAGCGGGTCGATGTGGCCTCACCCTGCTTCAGGAACTCCTGGAAGAGAGGAGGTATCAGTTTCATGACATATTGCACTATGGCACTTATAGAGGAAAATGTAAGGTCCTTATTTTCTGAAAATGTATTTCCTACACTCCCAAGCAGTTTATAAAGGTTATAAACAATATTGCCTGACACACTGGTGTTGTAATTCCAAGGAACAGTTTAGATTACATTCTTCTTTCTTTGATTTGCATACACCTGCAAGTTGTAACGCTGAGTCAGTTGATATTAAGGTTGTGTAGCATCAATGCAGTAACAATGTTATTGGCAAATTCATATCCACGTACTGGGTCCATGCACCAGCCACATTTCGCTCCCACTTGAATACACTCCCCACAGGATTTGGCATTAGCCTTGATGCACTCGTTCCCTTCTGGAATGGAATGGAAAAACAAAGGTTGAAAAGAAGCAAACTCATCATAGACTCCTAAAAACTGTATAATTTGGAAAACTGTGTGGCTCAGAGAGAATAGTAAATGGAGCTAGAGACAGAATGGAATATTCCGCTGTTCCAAAGTTCCAAGATGTCTTCACTACTATGCTCAAAGAAACCTATACTGTAAAGCCCAATGTGCTGTCATTACTCAAAACGTTTGAGGAAACCCGTTACTCAAACCGATAGTCACTGTGACCCTGTAGGAGGTTCAGATTTGAAGTAATGCCCCCACAAAGCCACGCCTCCAATAACATTTTCCAGTGTGTCTTTTCGAGTGAGTCCTGTGGCCTTCACCAAGTGAGTTCCTAGGTGAATGTTATCATTATAATTAAATTATTTATGACAATACATTACATATCTCATAAGGCAGGGTTCATCAAATAGTTCAGCATTGGGACGATTTTTTCTTGAGAGGATGATCAGGGGGCCGGAACATAATTACAAATAATTTGTAGACTGCAAATTGACTGCAAGAAGCCCAAACTGATATCATATTTGACTAAAACATAATAATTTCAAACCTTGCTTACATTTGTATATGATTACATACAATATACCTCTCTATTATTTATCTTTGTGCAGCATAAGATTAATCAATCAATCACTCAATGTACATGCAAAAACACAGACACCTGCAGTAGAGCATGCTGGGAAAAAAGTTAATTTGTTATCATAACTTAAAAATGTAGTTGATGTGACTTCTCATTGTCCTTCACGATGAAATCGGGGAGGGAACTGCGGATCTGTCTCCGTCCGTCTGTTCGTTCGTACGTCACACGCGATATCTCAGACAGCACTGGCCCGATTTTGACAATGGGTGAATGACGTTTCAAGCAGACCACCATAGTCCCCGTGCCCAAGGACTCTAAGATAACCTGCCTAAATGACTACCGACCCGTAGCACTGACGTCTGTAGCCATGAAGTGCTTTGAAAGGCTGGTCATGGCTCACATCAACAGCATTATCCCAGAAACCCTAGACCCACTCCAATGTGCATACCGCCCCAACAGATCCACAGATGATGCAATCTCTATTGCACTCCACACTGCCCTTTCCCACCTGGACAAGAGGAACACCTACGTGAGAATGATATTCATTGACTACAGCTCAGCATTCAACACCATAGTGCCCTCTAAGCTCATCACTAAGCTAAGGATCCTGGGACTAAACACCTCCCTCTGCAACTGGATCCTGGACTTCCTGACGGGCCGCCCCCAGGTGGTAAGGGTAGGTAACAACACATCTGCCACACTGATCCTCAACACGGGGGCCCCTCAGGGGTGCGTGCTCAGTCCCCTCCTGTACTCCCTGTTCACCCATGACTGCATGGCCAGGCACGACTCCAACACCATCATTAAGTTTGCCGACGACACAACAGTGGTAGGCCTGATCACCGACAACGATGAGACAGCCTATAGGGAGGAGGTCAGAGACCTGGCCGTGTGGTGCCAGGACAACAACCTCTCCCTCAACGTGACCAAGACAAAGGAGATGATTGTGGACTACAGGAAAAAAAAGAGGACTGAGCACGCCCCCATTCTCATCGACGGGCTGTAGTGGAACAGGTTGAGAGCTTCAAGTTCCTTGGTGTCCACATCACCAACGAACTATCATGGTCCAAACACACCAAGACAGTCGTGAAGAGGGCACGACAAAGCCTATTCCCCCTCAGGAGACTGAAAAGATTTGGCATGGGTCCTCAGATCCTCAAAAAATTCTACAGCTGCACCATCGAGAGCATCCTGACTGGTTGCATCACCGCCTGGTATGGCAACTGCTTGGCCTCCGACCGCAAGGCACTACAGAGGGTAGTGCGTACGGCCCAGTACATCACTGGGGCCAAGCTTCCTGCCATCCAGGACCTCTATACCAGGCGGTGTCAGAGGAAGGCCCTCAAAATTGTCAAAGACTCCAGCCACCCTAGTCATAGACTCTTCTCTCTGCTACCGCACGGCAAGCGGTACCGGAGTGCCAAGTCTAGGTCCAAAAGACTTCTCAACAGCTTCTACCCCCAAGCCATAAGACTCCTGAACAGCTAATCATGGCTACCCGGACTATTTGCACTGCCCCCCCACCCCATCCTTTTACGCTGCGGCTACTCTGTTAATTATTTATGCATAGTCACTTTAACTCTACCCACATGTACATATTACTTCAACTACCTCAACTAGCCGGTGCCCCCGCACATTGACTCTGCACCGGTACCCCCCTGTATATATAGCCTCCCTACTGTTATTTTATTTTACTTCTGCTCTTTTTTTCTCAACACTTTTTTTGCTGTTGTTTTATTTTTACTTTTTTTGTTAAAAAGAAATGCACTGTTGGTTAAGGGCTGTAAGTAAGCATTTCACTGTAATGTCTGCACCTGTTGTATTCGGCGCATGTGGCCAATAAAATTTGATTTGATTTGATGTGTCTTGCCATCGAGATCCGGCATTTACAAAATTGTACTGATTGTCCTAAGTTGGGAGCTATAGTAATTAACTTAAATTTGTTAGTCACACACAATCTCAATTTGCTCAAGGGGGGCACTGCATCATTCGTGGGGGACGACATGTTTACTGTTGCCTTGTTTAGTATTGAGTCAGTACAACTTAAACATTTGAAGTAATAATGACTTTTCATTGACTGAGTTAAACCTATTTGAGTAGAAAATGTCTTGGGGTTTACAGTGTAGGTGGAGCTGCTTCTTCTTCTGGCTAATGACATCATTACATTACAGCAGCATGCTCGGTTGGGGTCGTCTCACCAATACGGGACATCAGGCAGTTAACCACTATTCTGTACTGTTTATTTATTATGCGGTTTAGTAGAAATATATTATGATTAGATGATGTACTGTGTAGTCAGAAACTTGAGATAAGATGGAGGAGAATCATCTTACCTTGCTGAGCACTGCTGTAACAAATGACTCCTAACAACACTGATTTCAGAAGTAGTTTCAGGTCCATCTGAAAAAAAAAGAAAATGTGTGAGGATACAGTAATAAAGGTGATGGTGAATACTGTGTGTTCGTTTACATTTGTAGTACCATAGAAGACATTAGACTTTGAATGTATTTACATTTGTAGTACCATAGAAGATATTAGACTTTGTGAATGTATTTACATTTGTAGTACCATAGAAGATATTAGACTTTGTAAATGTATTTACATTTGTAGTACCATAGAACGCATTAGACTTTGTGAATGTATTTACATTTGTAGTACCATAGAAGATATTAGACTTTGTGAATGTATTTATATTTGTAGTCCCATAGAAGATATTAGACTTTGTGAATGTATTTACATTTGTAGTACCATAGAAGATATTAGACTTTGAATGTATTTACATTTGTAGTCCCATAGAACGCATTAGACTTTGAATGTATTTACATTTGTAGTCCCATAGAACGCATTAGACTTTGTGAATGTATTTACATTTGTAGTCCCATCAGGCTTGGTGACCTAATGCATACATTCTTCCTTCCCTTGACAAAAAGGACCAATTAACTGATATAGCCTTAGGGCCCAGAGTTCTTCCTGGTCAGGTGTTCACATGGTCTGGACCCCTATATATTACAGATATAAACAGTATCTGTATTAATTCATGACATGGGCCATTACTCTCATTGTCCCATGTAAGCTGTGGTTCTCTAACGGTCCGTTTAGCCAGGGAAACAGAAAGTGCATTTAGTCTCCCTGTCGTTAAGGAGGGTTGAGCTGGGGACTGAGTGTAAAATGGGGAATGATTCATTGACCTGAGTCGTCAAAGGGTGTGTGTGTGTACCGGATGGGGATCGATATCCATGGCAAGAAGACTTTTGAGCCTAGCTGGGCTATTTACAGGAGGGAGGGAGGGAGGGATGGATGGAGGGAAGGAGGGTGATGGAGAAGGCGGGAATGAGAGAGAGAGGGAGGGAGGGACAGGGAGGGGAGACTACAGGCTACTGAAGTAAGAGCCATGTGAGAGGAGGTCGTTTTATTGAATTAGCTCCTGACTGTTATCCTGTGACACACTGAGAATAGCAGACCTCTGCCTCCCTGCCACCAGATCGTTTATTACCTCCCATTATAACCAGGCCTTTTACAGATAGCCTAGAGAGAAATCAGCCTCAATGTTTCTACTCTATTTAGGGGTATAGCTTCAACAGAAGAAATGGGTGAGTGGACAATGCTACTATGCTAATGGAGAGGAGATAAGCACAGCATCCATTATACAGTCCCCTAAGGTGGAGAAGGGGGTTGAGTGTGTAACAATGTGGACAATTTACCAGAAACTTCCTGTCTCAGTACAACACACCAACCCTAGGGAGTTGAGTAGGGATGCGTCCCAAATGGCATCCTATTCCTGTTGGGATGCAGACTTGAGCTGGTAGCCTACAGGACAATCCTCTGCATTGTCTCTCTACTGAGGTCCTCCATCCAACACAGAACTGCTAATCACCAGCATGCTGTCCTAACATCAATGCACATGGTTTACATTAAGGCTAGTAGGGCTAGTGATGAGGAAGCTCAAGAGGAATTCTCCCCCATTTTACTGTGGTGGCAACCTGTCATAGGACCGAAATATATACCCCATGCCTGTCAATGACAGCTAACACTACATAATTACTGCATTGAGGGTGCTGTGCAGTGTGCATCTGTCTGTATGTTGTCGTTTGTATGTGTATGTTTTGTATTGTAAAAAAAGAAAAAGAGTGCTGCTGCATTCTCAGCACTGTACGTGGTGAGAAAGAAGTTCTGGCAGTCAGTACTGTATTGTGTTGAGTGAAGCATTCCTTAGCACCTTGTGTGTGTGTGTGTGTGTATCCCATCATGTTCTATATAGAGCCTAACAAGACAGACAGCCTGTCTTCAACCCCCAGATTAGCTCAACTGGACTAGGGCCTCTGACTGGCTGGCTGGCTGGCTGACTGACTGATTGACTGGCTGGCTGACTATAATTCAGTTATTGATGAGTTGTTGACAAAACAAATGTCTTAGAGAAAGAGATTAAGACAGCTAAAAGCTTTGGCAAAGTAGTTAAACTTCACACAACATTTTGTACAAACGGCCCTGCAAACCCTTTGTCCCAGATAGAATAAACATCTCTGGACAGAACCAAAACCACAGCCTCTGTTAGTCCAGCACAGAGTTCCAGGGAGCCATTATATGTGAAACTATGCCTGTAAAATGCCAGCGAGGTGTCAAGTTCAAAAAACAACAGGGCTGCTTCTATTATATGAAGCTTAGCAGCTAGTGACAGGAATGCGCTTCAAGTCCTCCACTGTCAGAGGGAAAGGGACTAGTGGACAGAACGATATGTAGACCAACACACTTATCCTTATCGAAGATGATAACCGTACACATTATTGCTTTTAAGGAGTTGCATCTTAAAACTCCATAAGTAACTTAATTTAAGAATCGGTATCTTCTGGCTAGATCTTTCACTGGGCAGATATGCAACACAGGGGTCAATGGTATTGAGGGAGGGACTGAGACTAATATGGTAACTTGACTAAACAACCAAACTGCTCAAGTATTTCTGTCCTTTGGGAGTGCAACAAAAATCAGAGATCTCCAGTAAACTTAAACCATGTCCAAAACCAGATATAGATCACTGGTCTGTGGACAGCACAGTGCAGATTCCTTAAAACCATCCGGGTGATAGGATATACTGTCTACTGTCACACACACACACACACACACTGAACCCCCTCCCCCACACATTCACACACACACTTACATACATACCTAAGCTGTGACTAAAGCCAGTGTAGCGTAGAGAGCCTCTCATAAACTCATTGTGGTGTTCAGGAGAGAGGTGGTGAGGTGGTGGTCTGTTTGTGGAGTGTATCATGACTATAAAGGACCTGACCTGAGCTCTCAGGCATTCCTTAGGGACAGGCTCCTATCAGAAGTCAGACCAGGATAGTAGCTGCCTGGTGCCTGTACTTCACTGGGGAAACCAGAGCACTCCCAGCCATGTTCCTGTGCTGAGTAGAGCTGCCATATTTGCCATATTTGGACAGGCACCAGTTTTCATGCCCCATCTCTCCTACCACAACTTCCTTCCCCACCCCCTACCCTTCCCTACTAGTGATGAAAAAAAAAGTCGCTACAGTTACAGTGAGGGAAAAAATTATTTGATTCCCCTGCTGATTTTGTAAGTTTGCCCACTGACAAAGAAATGATCAGTCTATAATTTTAATGGTAGGTTTATTTGAACAGTGAGAGACAGAATAACAACAACAAAAAAATCCAGAAAAACGCATGTCAAAAATGTTATAAATTGATTTGCATTTTAATGAGGGAAATAAGTATTAGACCCCCTCTCAATCAGAAAGATTTCTGGCTCCCAGGTGTCTTTTACACAGGTAACGAGCTGAGCAGTGGCGGCTCCTGAAAAAATTCTCAGGGGGGGCAATTTTTCTGATGATTTAGGTGACCTACACACATTTTAAAAAAGATATGTCCAGCAACAACATGAAGACAGGGGCAGCATATAAGTCAATACCAGAAGCATTTATTGACTGATCTCAAAAGTGTTGGCTTACCAGGGTTGGTGGAGCCCTCAGTTTCATCTTTGCCTCGCAAAGCTAACTCAAACACTCCGCAAAACTTCACACACTGGATTAGCCGGCTGAGGATGTGGCGGTTCTTGCTAATGTCGTAGTAAATATATTTGTTATAGTGAATATGGAATATGATATGTTGAGTAAAATGTTGTGCTAAGATCTATTTAGGTCAGGAGCTGGTTATAAGTTCTGTTCCTATCCAATAACAATGGACAAAAGGGTCCTATCTTGTCAGCCTTGTCAGTTTCAGTTCTCCAGTAAACTTGTGATTATCAACACTAACCTCATCGTTGTGGCGGCGGACAGCTAGCCTGTATCCCTCATCCAGTTGAGTGGGAATGTTCACTCTCCCCAAAGCAGACCATCTCAAACAGCTATCCATGTGGGTCTTTGACAGCTCATGTTTCTTAATCTTTCCTGAAAGATGGTGCATGTCCGTTACACACCAGTCGCTGTCCAAGCGGTGCTGTCTGCCGTGCCGCCTTCAGGGTGAAAGAGTAAGCAGGGGGTAGCAGAAGACTGCATTAGCTATATCGCAGCCTGCTAGCCAGGTTTTTCGTTCGTACCAATTTTTGGAAAATCCTCGGGTGTAGGACTTCCCCCCTTTAGTAGAAACCTGTTGAATTATTAAATTTGGTCTGGGAGGTCCTAATTGTTTCGTTGCCAATTTATCTTCATTTGTTCGCCGACAAAAAGGAACTTCTTTCAAAGACACAATCGAGTTGCACTGAAGCCTAGCCATTTTGATAGTAGTAGTGAATTGATTGACGCTGCTACCCGCTCTTTTCTTAGTTACGTTCATGGTTATGTTACGTATGACGAAAGCGCGTAAGTGCAAGCCCTCAGAAACCCATAGAGATTGTATTGAAAGCTCTGATATTTGAAAAAAATAGATTTTACATGGGAGTCTATGACAGACTTCTGGGCGATTTTCAACCTGACTGAAATCGCCCCAAAAGGGGGGGGGGGGGCATTTGAAGCACGACTTTAGCCTGATTGGACATTTAGTGGCACTGTGGCAGATCAGACGTCTAGATTACAACACTGATAACTACTGTTGCCGTGATATAATTGATTAGAAAAAAAATCCCTTCCTTTTCCCGTTTGGCAGTGCGTCGCCCATATCGCCCTATTGAACACACCGCCCCTGGAGCTGAGATTAGGAGCACACTCTTAAAGGGAGTGCTCCTAATCTCAGTTTGTTACCTGTATAAAAGACACCTGTCCACAGAAGCAATCAATCAATCAGATTCCAAACTCCACCATGGCCAAGACCAAAGAGCTCTCCAAGGATGTCAGGGACAAGATTGTAGACCTACACAAGGCTGGAATGGGCTACAAGACCATCGCCAAGCAGCTTGGTGAGAAGATGACAACAGTTGGTGCGATTATTCGCAAATGGAAGAAACACAA